GGGAAATGTTATTGTGTTTGTGGCAGGAAAGGCTGATGAACCTGATTTCATGTTCTCAGAAGGATAATTTATTATTTTATGGTACTATATTATATTAAAGAATGCTATACTAAACTATACTAAGGAATATAGAAAGGATACTTACAGAAGGTTAAAAGACAATAATGAAAACTTGTGACTCTCTCCAGAGTGCCAACACAGCTGATTGGCCAATAAGTCCGAATAATTCACACCAGAATCCAGTGAAACAACCACTTGTTGGATAAACAATCTCCAAACCCATTCCAGATGAGCACAACACAGGAGAAGCAAATGAGATAAGAATTGTTTTCCTTTTTCTCTGAGGCTTCTCAGCTTCCCAAGGAGAAAAATCCTGGGAAATGGGATTTTCCAGAAAACGTGAATGTGACAAAATATGTGCACCCTGTCCATGGGATCCAGCAGGGTGTCAAAGCCTCTCTTTAGGACCGAAGTCCCACCAGCATCCCTTCAGCTCTGGGGATGGCAGCTGGGATTCATCCATCCCTGCTACCTCGGCATTCCCAGCCTTTCCCTTTCTCTTCTCCCTGATGATGCTCAGTACAAACTAGATACAAACTAGGTTACCCTTGCCCAGCATCTCCCCCAGAACAGCCTTTCCCTCTCCACACATTGACCATCTCATTAATTTTTTATCATCTTCCTGCCAGAATTAAGCTTCCTGCCATGTAAACCCCAATTCCTTCTCTTTTTTTTCCTTTTTGACCTCTTAAATCGAACTCCTGAGCATTTCCCAGTCCCCAGGGCCTTGCTCATCCCCTCAACCCACAGATATTTTTCCAGCATGACCCCCACCAGCCAGAGAGTGCTTTAATTGAGCCCAATCTCCTCTTTTAGCTCGAGCTGGGGAAAATTAATTTTTCATTTGCTTGGGGCCAGAAGCACCCTGAGGTGGTGGAGGGCTGGAAAACAGCTGCTTTTTTTCCCCTTCCCCTGCAATATTCATGTAAGAAAAGTGAGAAATAGAAGGAGAAAGTCATGCCAAGCCTGGGCTCCGTGGTTTATGCACATTTTGCTGCAATAAAAAAAGCCAAGCCTGATTCTTTGCACGATGTCCGTAGGTTTTGGAGCTTTGGAAATCCTCCCCTTGCTGCCACCCTCTGCACAGGTCAGCATTGCCATTGCTCTTCTGGGTTTTCAGCCAAAAATCCCATTTCTCTGTACCATCCCCTTTCAGCCCATGATTTATTCCTGCTCCCCAGAGCAGGGGCTTGGCCATGCCCAGGGTCCAGTGGAGCTGGGAAGGTGAAAACGGGGAGAAAAAGGGAATTTCTGCTGCTTGGAGGTCTGGTATTGTGCCTGGATGGCTTTTATTTTTAGTTTTTCAAGCCCTGGCTCTGCAAAAGCATCTTAATTACTATTCTTCAGCTGTAAAAATGAAACCCAGATGTGCTCCCTCTGCAGAGGTTTCATCAGGGGGTTCTGCCGGAGGGGGGACATCCCAGCAAGGAAAACATGCAAATTATTATTATTATTATTAATATTATTTTAGGAGCTCTCATGTCCAGTGCTATTTGTGGTGGCCCCAAGCCAGCACATGCTTCTCCCCTGCTGCTGTAAATAGAAATTATATCACCCCAAACACCCTCAATTTTCACCAAAATGAAAGGGAAGCACTCCTGAGCTGGGCCTTGAAAAGCTGATGGCTCTGGGACTTGGGTGCAGCTGGCAGAGCTGCCACAGCTGGGCAGAAAAACAGGAAAAAATGGGAATTTTGGGGGGGAAAACACAGCCCTGAAGTCTCTGATAGCTGCCGTGATTTGGCTGGGGCTGTGGCAGGTTTCCCCTTGCAGCCCCATGTGCCTGCCAGTGGAACATTGGCTCCTCGGCACATTTTCCCCTTTGGATGGATAAAAAACACAAAGACACGTGAAGTTCATCTTCCAGGGATTGCTGCTCAGTCCCGAGAGGAGGAGCAGGAATAAAATCCCTGGCTGAGGTCAGAACAGTCCTGTTCCTTTCACCTCTGTGGAGCCCAAGGTCCCTTTGCCTGGGCCCCTGTCTGACGCAAGGATGCAGGAAGGGAGAACCTGGCCAAGACCAGCTGCATTTTTGTACTTGAAATAAAATTAATAATTAGAAAATTATAATAAAATTTAAAATTATTTAAAAAAATAAAATAAATAAAAACTTTAAAATAAAATAAATAAAAACAACATAAATAAAAACTTCAAAATAAAAAACTTAAATTAAATAAATAAGACTTAAAAATAAAATAAATTTAAAATTTAAAATAAAATAAATAAAACCAACATAAAAATTTAAAAACAAAATAAAAACTTAAATAAAATAAATAAGACTTTAAAATAAACTGGATTAAAAAAAATTAAATATAAATAAAATTAACATAAATAAAATATCATAAATAACAATATAAATAATAATTAATATAATATAATAAATTAATTAAAAGTTTTTAAAATGAAAATATTTAAAATTATAATCTGGAAAGAAATGTGATATCCCAGGTCCATTTATTTGGGGAGAGTTTCACAGAGAAGTGGTGGGGTTGGGATAATGTTTCTTGCCACCTTGTCACCACCCACACAGAGGATTTATATATTTATTTCTTATCTCCTCCCAGAAAAAAAAAAAAAAAAAAAAGTTTCTGGCAGAAAGCTTTTCTTTCTCTGGAAGGAGGCAGCCTTCCAGCCAAGGTACACGTGGTGCAAAGCTCCATTGAAATATTCCTCCCACCAAACAAGCTCCACCCAAAGGCAAAGGCTGAGCAGTGAGAAAGAGCCTCGGTACCCACCTCTGTACCCACCTCCTCACAGGGGGAAGAAATATGGGGATGCCTCCACTTCCAAGGCAGATTTTGACCTGGAATTCCCCATAGATTGAGTCACAGGGGTTTTAATCTGTTCTAAAAAGCTTTTTTTCTATTTTTGAGGGAAGTATTTTATATTAAAATAGGTTTTAATAGGCATTTAAAAGAGAGGTTTTGTCTCTGTATGAATAACAAACACCATTCAGCCAATGGTTACAGGTTAATCATGCCTCCATTTACAAAATGTTTTAATTACACCCTCAAATATGACCTTTGCTATGGGACAAGAACACGAGTGCAGCACAGAGAAAAGCCTGGAAAGGACATGTCAGCACAGCCCAAACCCTCAGGGATGGGGAAGGCAAGCAGAAGCATTAATAATCCATTAATTAATTATCCATGTCAAATATAATCTCATTAGGCAGTAGCACAGCTACAAACAGCCCCATTGCCACGTTACCCCCACAGTGCGGCCAGAAAAAAAGGGAAAAAAAGCCATTAAACCCTCAGTGCTTTCATGCCAATGCAGCCAGGCTCCAAAAATCCTCTGTGATGATGATGATGCAGGGTGTGCTGGTGTGGAGGAAGGAGCATCCCCTACTTTGCTCTGTGCTTCCTGAGCAGCAAGGGGGGAACTCAAAGGAAAATTTGGGGAGGGCACAGGTGCCCCTGGTGTGGGTTTGAGCTCCAGGGAGGGGCTCAGGGCAGGTCCCACCCCAAGACAATTCATCCTCACTGCCCTTGAGGCTGCAGCATCCTGGGGAATGGTGTGGGGCAGCCTGGAGCACATGGGCAAGGCTCCTCTGGCAATACATACAGTATTATTTAAATAAAGTCCCCCTCTGGCAATACATACAAATATATTTAAATAAAGTCTCTCTCCACTCTATCACAGGTGAAGCAGGCACTGATACCATTTATCCAGGCCCCCTTTCAGTGTTCTCCACATTTCACCTCTTCTAAGCACCTGCAGCACCAATGCACGAATAACTTTTTCCAAACTTATCCATTTGGAATAAGGGATAGATTTGGGTTTTTTTAAGGGATATTCAGAGTTTCCATGACCCACCCCAGGCTGTGTGTACAACCAAGAGTGCAGTGGGGTGATTTTGGGCACTGCTGGGGCTTCCCCTTGGCTACAACACAGAGCTTGGCTCTTCCCCATTTCCCTGTGAGCCTGCAGCTTTGGGAAAAAGGGGACAAAACAAAGCCCCAAAATATGGGAGATGGCACCCAGAGCTGCAGGGATACCCTGTGTCCCCATGGAAATGAGATGGAGACAACCAGGCACAGATCTGTGTTTCCTGCCCGGAAATCAATCTCTCAACACCGCTGGCTGGGATTTAATATTTAATATTTAATGTTTAATACTTAATACTCTACCCCAAAACAACCTCAGATCCCCTTGGCTGTACTCCCACACTCCAAGCCCTGAACAAGGTGAGGGAAGTGGAGAATTAGGAGTTAACTGAGGGTCAGGAACCTGCAGAAAAGCAGTTTCCATGAAAATCAATAAAATTGATCAATGAGCTCTTGGTGTTTTAATGTAAAAACACACTTTGAGCTTCTTTTTTTGCAGGTATTTTAGTCCATACAGCCTCTTGCTGGTGCTTCCCTGGGAAAAGCTGCTGCTCCTCCAGGGAATAACCTCCAGTGAGGCTGGAGGTCAGCTCATTAACACCATCCAATTAATTGCTGCTTTTTACCCTCCTGCCATGGAACATCTCCCACTAGCCTAGATTGCTCCAGGTTGTTATTATATAGAATATAAAATATGTATTTAATATTTAATGTATTATTTCTAGAATTTACATGGGATAGAATAATTCTAGAATGAGTATTTTCTATCATTACATATTAAAATTTATATTTTTATAGAATTTAAAACATATAATATTTTAAATATATATTAAATATAATATATAAATATATTTTTATATAGAATTTAAAACATGTATTTTATATTTAATGTATTTAATATTTCTAGAATTTACATAGTATAGAATAATTCTAGAATGTGTATTCTCTACTATTATATATATAAAATATATATTTTTCTATCATTATATATAAATGTATATATACATTTATATATAATGTATACACAGTATATGTAATAAATCTATGCTATAGACATACAGCATTTAAAATTCACAATATACACTCTGTAATGATTTTATATTTTAGATATATCACATATGATACATAACCCCTTGTTTGCTTTGTCTCTGGCTGAATCCTTTCAGAATTGCCAATCCTTTTCCCTCGGAGCAGAAAATCCAGGCCATTCAGAGCCAGGTTTTAACTTCTCATCTAGGAGAGGGATTTGGGTTTCTGCCTCCCCAGCCTGGGGAAAACAAGGAATAAACACAGCACGGTTGATTTTTCACATTCAAACACATTCCCATCTCCCAGGATATTTTTTTTTCCCAGGCAATTGCTGCAGCCCTGCTTTGGAAATCACTTGTTAGGATGGTGGGAAAGCAGAAAGGAGCCTTTGAGCCCCTCAGACCAGGTGATGCAAAGCTCCAGCCTTCATTACCAAGATTAAAAGAAGCTGGGATTTCCTAAGCAATTAAAAACTCTGCCTAATTAAGACAGGGCTAATAGGCAGGACTTCCAAGGGCTGCTGCTGGGGCAGGAGAAGGATTTGCAGCAAAAGAGCTTGCAGGTAATTGCTTTGGTAAGGCAGAATAAATGGGGATGTGAGGATAGAGAGGATATGCTCAGTAAAAAACTAAAATAAGAGGGGAAAAAAAAAAGGAGGGAAAATAGCATCAACAGCCTCTTGAAATTACTCAGTCAATTGTTTGACTGCATCAGCAGCAAGTTATCCAAACACTGCAGCACTCGGAGAGGGGCAAAACATTCAGGCAGGTATTTCTGCCTGAAGAAAGGAAAAAAAAAATTAAAAGCACACCCCCAAATGTGCGGCTAAGCCAAAAAAAAGAAAGTGAGGGACCCCTTGGGACCTAGGTCTGTCACAGCCAAGGCTGAAGAAAAAGCAGCACTTTGCTATTTTAAAACCTTGTTTTTCTTTCCAGCCTCCACCTTTGAATTTCTGCCACCTCCCAGCGCTGGCAGGGGATGAAAGTGGTGGCCGGGACAGACGGACGGACAGCGTGCTCCTGCTTTTGTGCTTCCCATCCTGCCCTCTCCTCCCTCCAGGAGCCTTCCCCTCACCCGACTGTGAGCCCAGCAGGGCACTGGGACCCCTCATTTATATCACCTCCTTTGGACTCTTCCTTAACGAACAAAGGAACCCTCCTGGCATTAATTTTGCTTTTCTGCCTTTGCTGAGCAGCTCAGCCCCCTCTGCACCACTCAACTTGCTGCAGGCACCCCAAAACTGGGTACCACAGCTGCCATTCCCCCAGCTAAAAAGAGTTGGGAAGAATCAACAAATGTGCCCAAGCCCTAAAAATACCCAGGTCTGAAGTGACTGGGATTTCTGTGAGTCCTAATTCTGGCTGCTGGCGTTTATGGCTCTATATATACATGGAGCCATAAAAATATAACCATATGTATATACATTTACGCGTATATAGACATGTACATTTGTGTGTTTATGCACATAAACACCTCTGTGTGTACAAATATAAAAATTTGTGTAAATGCCGCGCTGCCTCGGGGAGAAAGCGAGGAAGGTCTCGATTTTTAATTTACAACATTTTTATTGCATCCAAAAGAACCCCAGAAATCCTCTCATCCTACGGCAGCTTCGAGGCTCGCCCCTCCCTCCCCACACCCTCAGATTTAGGGAAAAAGAGTCTTTTTTTCCTTCCCCACCCCAGAGCAGGCAGCAGGGCCCCTTTGTGCTACACGAAGTCGCCGCGGAAGGGCCGGGCCGTGGCGCCCTGTGCCTGCCAGCGGCCCCGCAGCGTGCACAGGGCTCTGCCCTCCAGGCTCTCCAGCTCCGGGAACCCCAGCTGGTTCAGCACCTCGTAGACCCCGGCCACTGCTGCCACCTGCAAACAGAGGGACAAGGGACATTGGATCCCCCTCCCACCCTGGGGATGCTTCTGCCACCTCTGGGGTGAAGATCCCCCCCATCCTGGTAGCACCCCCTTCACCTCCCCCAGCCCTTTTCCAGCCCCAGTCTATCCATTTTCTAAGCCTCTTCCTTGCTGCTGGGGTCAGCCATCACAGGGTTTGTTGGCTTTGGCACCCTCCTGCCAAAAAGCTACAATGGCGCCTTGTTTTTGCTGAAAACGCCGGGATTATGCAGCGGGAAGGGGCGCCCCGGGGGTCAAAGGCTCCTTGTATCCACAGGTTGGGTGTTTTTCCCTCCCCTCCAGTAGACAGGGGGAGTGGGGAGGGGGGGATGGAAACCCCACACACAGGAGATGTGGCGTTAAAAGGAGCAGCACCTTTTGGGGCTGCACTCAAAAGAGATGCAGCACACAAAGAAAAACGAGGCGCTAAAAGATGCTCCAGCAAAAGTGGTCACAGAGGGCAGGTGTAAATCCATGTGCTGGAAATGCAGCCCCAAAAGGTGCTGCTTTAAAAAATACAGCCCCAAAAGCTGCAGCATTAAAGGATGCAGCCCCAAAAAATTGCAGTAGTAAAGGATGTAGCCCCAAAAAGATGCAGTCCCAAAAAGAAAGTTCAGCATTGAAGGTGCTGCCCTAAAAAGTGCTGCATTAAAGGTACAGCCCCAAAAGGTGTGGCACTAAAAGATGCAGCCCTAAAAGGTGCTGCTTTAAAAGGTGCAGCATTAAAGGTGCAACCCCAAAAGGTGCTGCTTTAAAAGGTGCAGCCCCAAAAGGTGCTACTTTAAAAGGTGCAGCATTAAAGGTGTAGCCCCAAAAGGTGCAGCACTAAGTGATGCAGCCCCAAAAAGCACCACATTAAAAACTGCTGCACTCAACCTCGGGCCTCCCGCATGCAGCCAGCAGCAAACATCCCAAATCCCCACCAAAGCTGCTCCAGCCCCAGCGGCGGCCGCCGGGCAATGCAAACACGGCATAGCCGGGATGCCAGGGTGGGGCGGCCCCGCTCCAGCTCCGCCCTTCCATCTCCCGGCAGATCAAAGATGCCAATAGGAATTAGCAGCGCCGGCCGGGAATGGGGGGAAAAAAACTCTCTGCACCGTAACAGAAGTAAGAGATGGAAATGACAAAATAAATTTTAAAATAACTGAAATTATAGGGTGCATCGATAGAAGTAACACAATAAAAGAACAAAAATTAAGAGTGAAAATAGTAAGATACAGTCGTGCAATAATAAAATTTAAATAAATACAAATAATTAAAATGCAAAAATATTAATAGGAAAAAATAGGAAGACTAGGAGTAATAATAATAATAATAATAATAATAATAATAATAATAATAATAATAGCAGCATTATTAAAATTGCCATGTCCCCAGCTTCCCCTTCTCCCCCCTGACTCTCCTTTCATGCAGAAGAACCCCCCAGCCACCAGCACACACACCCCACAGCACTTGTACCACCTCCAAAGTCCCTTTTCCAGGGAAATTTACAGCCCCTTCCCAACATTCCCATTCAAATCAATGTGTCCCAAATAAATCTGGCACCTACATCCCTCCCAAGAAGGCAATATGGGTAATTTGGGGTCTCTTACCCAGCCTGCCCCCATTCCATAAGGATCCTTTAGGGTCTCTCACTCGTCCCCATTCCATTTTTCCATCTGGTTCCCAATCCCCTTGGATATTCAATGCCACCATCCCATGTCCCATCCCCTGTGCCACCCGTCCTGCCCCGGCAGGTTTGGCTAGTGGGCCCCCAGCCCGAGATGCTGCAACCACAACAAAACCCCTGGGAAACTCAAAAGAGCAGGTTTAGGGTGGGAGAGCTCCCCCTCTATGTGGTGGGATGCCAGTGCCAGTGGGATCACCAGTGGGTTTCCGTGAGAGCCACCAAGTCAGGGAGAAAAGGGACACGGATGATGCCCCAACAAGCCCAGAAATCAGGTGCAAGCTAAGGACGGGTATCTTCTTCCCAGTAAACTCCTGTATTCCCACATAAACACAGGGTGGCAGCCTGGGAGAGCCTCACCTCACGCATCCAGAGGCTGAAGGACCTCTGCCAGGAGTCCTTCTTCTCCAGGTGCAGGTAGGTGTTGAAGAGGATGAGGAAGATGTAGCGCTCCAGGTACTGCAGGCTCCTCAGCTGCAGCGTCCGCGCCTCCCGCTCATCCTTGCTCGACTTGCCCTGGAGGGAACAAGAGCCTGCCTGAGGCACCTGTGGCACCCCCGGGGGGCTCCTGCACCCCACCCTCAGCCCCAGCCCTGGGAGAAGCCTGGGAAGGGCACAGGAAGAGGGAGGAACACTCTGGGGACAGAAATGAGTGCATCCGTCCAGCCCGCTCCTGCTGGGGCTTGGCGCTCCAGGTTCTCATTTCCCTGCGGTTCCAGTGGGTAACAACATTCCCAGAGCTCCAAAATAGGTGAGGGAGGGCTAAATGTGGGGGGCAGGAGCAGGAATAGACAGCCAAGGGAGAACTGTACCCCAAACCAGGAGGTAAAGCACTTCCCCAGGGAAAAACATCTCCATGCAAGGCATTCCCACCTGGATTCAGCCTCTACTTCCAGAGGAAGGGAAGAGAGAAGAGACAGAAGGGAGAGAATGGAGAGAAAGGAGAAAAGGGAGAGAAGGGAGAAAAGGGAGAAAAGGGAGAAAAGAGAGAAAAGAGAGAAAAGAGAGAAAAGAGAGAAAAGAGAGAAAAGAGAGAAAAGAGAGAAAAGAGAAGTTGATGGCCATCACATCTCCCAGTACTGTTTTACATATATAAATATAAAGAGTACTATTTTATATATATAAATATATAAGAGAAAAGAGAAAAGAGAAGTTGATGGCCATCACATCTCCCAGTACTCTTTTATATATACAAATGTAAATACTATTATATAATACAAATGTAAATACTATTATATATACATAAAAATTATAAATATATCTCTCCTATCTTATATGTTTTATATATATTATAGTGTTCATGCATTCATTATTTCTATTGATTGCTTTAGTAGATATTGTATGTAATTATACAGTAATTTTTATTAGTATTATTATTGCCATTATTTCAAGCTCTGCATGCTGCCCTTTCTAGGAATTATTAAATGCTAATAAATCAGAGCCCTGATCCCACAGGCCACCCCAAAAAGCAGCAATTCCTCACTCCACCTCTGCCCTTGGGAAAAGGTGTCTCCTTCATTTGTGTGTGCCAGTATTTGTAGAAAGCAAATCCTATAATCCTGTTATTTATCCTGGTACTGTATTAGCCTATTTATTTTTCATTCTATTATCCTGTTATTTACCATGTTGTTGTATTATCCTATTTATTTTTTATCCTATTATTTATTGTTTTATTCTATTATGTTACTTATTTTTCTTCTGTTACTTATCATTTTATTCTAATATCCTACTTAATTTTCTTCCATTATCCAATTTTCTTCTGTTACCCTATTACTTCTCATTTTATTCTATTATCCTATTTAATTTTCTTCTATTGCTCTATTACTTCTCATTTTATTCTATTATCCTATTTATTTATCTTCTATTATCTTATTATTTAACATCTTATTATCCTACCTTTTATCCCATTATTTATATTTTCCTACATTTTCCTCCCAGTTTGGGGTGGGAAGACGTCAGAACAAACCAAACCAAGCCCCTAAACCACCTTTGCCTTCCTTTCTGTTTGCCCTAACCCTGAAAAGCATCTCCCAGCAGGCTCCCAAAACCCCAACAATTCCCACCATTCTCTTCTCCAAGCTGCCCATCACTGATGAAAAAAAAAACCTAAAAAATAAATTAAAATTAAAGCATTTTTTCAGGGCCAAGCCAAATCAAATGGGATGGATGGAGCAGCCAAGGGGCTCTTCCCTGAGCACAGGGAGTGGATGAACTCTTCCTTATCTTGCCTTCCCACCAGGATGCAGCCTGGAAATGGGATACAGCCCAGGATTCCCCCTGTGCTAAGCCTGACAGCCAAGCAGGTGAAACTCCCCACATGGCCACAGGCCCATAGTAAAGAAAAGAAAGCCAAAATTAAATTACTTATCCTGAATGAAGATAAATTAATCAAAAATAAATGTGACTATAAATAATTTATAATCACACATCTGCAAATAGTTTGGTCTCCAGAGGTTTTCTCTCCCAGCTGCCCAAACAATGCAGAGGATCTCAGGAGGCAAATCCCCAGGAAGCTGCAGATGTTCCTGTGGTGATTGAACATTTTGGTTTTTCTTCCCTCCATCGATCATTGGTAGTCATTAACTGAAAACACGGATCAGTGGCAGCTGGAGCAGGAGCTGCAGTGAGGGATTCCCTGTGGGATGTGGCACAAACAAACCACCCCAGGAATAACACCAGGCCCTTGCCTCTGCCCTGTGATACAGCTGCACAGGTCTGAAACATCCCAAATCTAGTTAAAATAATCCTTCTTGCTTCTTCATCAGCTCCACAGAGTGAAACAGGGCTGTGGAGCACAGGCTCAGCTGGCCATGGATGAGTCCATTCCCAGGGGCAGCTCCTTTCCCAAAGCTGAACCTCCTTCCCAAACTCTGAGGAGCCTCTGGGGCTGGGAGTGGAGCGGCACAGAGCAGCCCTGCCCTCTGCAGGCTGAGCCTCGGGATGGGATATGGGATCATGGATGGGATGGGATAATGGGAAGGGATAATGGGATGGGATGCTGCAGTACAGGAACGTGGGATGCAGGCTGGACTCTGGGTGGGATGCAGGACAGCAAGGGACAGCACAGGATCAGAGGGTGACCATGACCATATGGGCCCTGGTGTCACCATGATATTTTCTGAAAAATCCCTTCACCAGGATCTTCTCCTGGGAAGCTGAGAGGCCTCAGAAAAGAAAGTAAACGATAATTATCTGATTGCTTGGGAATGTAGTCCAGAAATCATTTACCAACAGGTGCATTTTTGGTTCCATGTGGATTGTTTTTAATTAATGACCAATTACCATCAGCTGTGTTGGACTCTGAGGAGTCAGTCATGAGCTTTCATTATCATTCTTTTGTAACCTTCTAAAGTATCCTTTCTCTTTCTTTAGTATAGTTTTGGTATATAATTTGTTTTAATATAATAGAATATCCTAAAATAATAAATCACCCTTCTGAGAACTTGGAATCAGATTCTCATCTCTCACCTCGTCCTGGGGACTCTCACAGCACCACACCCTGGCACCCCTCTGGTGACACTCCAGAGACCTGCAGCCTGAGGAATGACCCATGTTCCAGATTGCAAGGTAGGATGTATTCACTGCCATCTTTATGGCAGCTGTCTTTTGTCAAGTTTTCCTTATCTCTTCCACAATCACTCCTCTCTGGGGAGGGGACATTGCTGATAACAGACTATTGAATGTCACTGCATGGCTGATAAGAACTACAGCATCCCACTGGGAGATATGAGCCCAGAGGGAGGAGCCAAGCATTGCTACCTGGATATAATCTGGAGATTCTGGAACACCAGCACAGCTTCTGCACTGGATTGCCCAGAGGAACAGCAGCTGCCTCTTCCCCTGGATCTTCAGAGGAAGAGACTGCACCTTTCTAGAGGATCCCTGCTCCAGCAGAACCACACCTGACACTGCAGGAGGACTGCAGCCACAATTCCAATTGGACTGCTGCCAACACCCCACAGGTTGCCAGGCTGTGTTCTAACTCTGTCAGTCTTGTTTTGGTTTACTGCATTGTTGATTTTATCCTTTTATTTTCTTCCCTAATAAAGAACTGTTATTTCCTGCTCCCGTATCTTTGCCTGAGAGCCCCTTAATTTAAAATTTATAGCAATTCAGAGGGTGGGGAGGGTTTACATTCTCCATTTCAGGGGAGGCTCCGGCCTTCCCTAGCAGACTCCTGGCTTTCCAAACTGAGACACCCCAGCTTTGCAGGGCAGGTCCCAGAGCCCGGCTGCAGCCCCTGGAGCTGCCCAGTGCCCGGGCAGGGGGCTCACCTGGCGGAAGGTGCAGATGATGATCTCCCTCAGGTGGTAGTGCATGGGGGTCATGGTCTCGCTGACCGTGTCCAGTGCCATGTCCACCTCCTTCTTCATCCGGTGACCGTCGGGCAGGAGCTGGACCACCTTCATCACCACCTGGAGCACAGGCAGGAGCTTCACCACCCTGTCCCACTGCCCCCGCTCCAAACAAGCAGCTGTGGTTGAGGGAGCAGCAGAGGGAGAGCGCCAGGACTCACCTCGAACTCCCCCTTGGTGTACTTGGCGTCGGGGACACTCACGATTTCCTCCTCGCTCATCTCAGGGATGCCCTGGGGTGGCCAGAGGGAAATGGGTCATTATGGGCTGCACAAAAATGCAAAACCTGTGCCCAGCCCAGCAGGACTCCCAGCATCCCCCACCCTGCCTCTGCCAGGCACAGAACGTGAATATTTTACCCCAGCCCGAGAAGGGAGCACATGTCTGGATAGACACAGGACTGTTCCAGGCATTGGCTCAGGGTGCCCAGAGAAGCTGTGGCTGCCCCTGGATATCTGGAAGCGCCCATGGCCAGGCTGGACAGGGTTTGGAGCCACCTGGGATAGTGGAAGGTGTCCCTGCCCATGGCAAAGTGGTGGAAACAGGATGAGCTTTAAGGTTCCTTCCAACCCAAACCACTCCATGATTCCATGCTCTCTCCTGCCCTTAAACCCTTCATCCTGGGGGCGGAACTCTCAGGAAGAGGGTAAAGGCTCACCAGGGATCCACCCAGGCTTCTGGAGCTCACTGGGAGTCAGGCACAGCAAATGACAACACACAGACAGGTGTCCACCCCACATTCCAGCCCAACCCTGCCCACACTCCTTCCAACCCCCTGGCTGTGTGTGACACAGCTGCCATGGGCTCTGCAGAGCTTCCCCAGGAGCCCCAGCAGGGGTTGTTGCAGCCCCTGGACTCACGTTGAAGTGCCACAGGGTGAGCACAGCAATGACCATGGCCGTGGTGGTCCTGCCCCGGCCACTGGAGCAGTTGAACACGAAGGCTGCCCGTGAGTCCTCGGCCAGGGCGCTCTTCATGGCCTCCAGCAGCCGGTCAAAGTCCTGCCAGGATGAAGCCAGTGGGTTTTCAGGCATGCAGGGCTTCTTCACCTTGGGGTCCCCTTTGTCCTACAGCCCCCAGGTTGAACTCCCTGTTTCCTCACTGCCAGACCCATCCTTGCCCACCTGAAGGCACCCAGCCTCTGTGTGCAGCACCTCCTGGGGATCTCCCCTGCCCTGGCAAGCACTGAGCACCCAGGGGACATTCCTGCCCAGCAGCAGGGCTGGGATGGAGGCAGCAGCACCCTCCCTCCCTGGGTACCTGCTCCTTGGGAGCACAGAAGTCGAGGATGGGGATGCGGCGGTAGGTGAGTCCCTGGCAGGAATTCTTCTGCTGGCTGAATATCTCCTGCGTGGTCAGGCAGCTCTTGAACATCTTCATCTGCTTCTCTGACTCCAGGTACACCTCCAGCCACTTCTGGCACTTCAGCAGGTCCCCCTTCAGGGTAGCCTCCAGTTTCTGCAGAAGACAGAGAAACCCTCATTGTAACACCCACCCCTCCTAATTTTTAATTAGGATTTTAATCAATGTTTTTAGATGCAGGTGAACACCCCAAATCCCACACCAGGTCCTGGCAGTTCTGCCCAGGTCCCTCTGGGTTTGATGGGAGCCCCAGGAGCATCATTTCTCACACCACTCCTCCATGCAGCTGCACTGCTGCAGGCAGCCAAGCTCCCCCACTGCCTGTCTCCCCTGGAAATCCAGCTGGGAACATCCGTTCCCCTTTCCCCAGATGCCTTTTACCCTTGCTCTCAAGGCATGCTATAAATTCTTCCAGGGTAGATCTCGCTCTGCTTTGCTCCCTTGTTCCCAAAGGAAAACAAACCCAGCTGCTCCAGAGGGCGAGGAACTGTGAAAGCCTGCAGAAATCACCCATGAGGGCTCCTGGGAACCTCCACAGCCCCCAGCACCCCCAGAGCTCACCTCCAGCTGCTGGGGCGAGGCAGCAGGCACGGGGATCAGCTCCTCCAGGAGCCCAGGCTCCCGCAGGGTGTAGATCTGCTCGTTCCCCTCCAGGACCGCCTCCTCCCGCAGGCTGACCCAGAGGATGCGTGAGTGCTTCCTCTTGGCATCCGTCAGGTACCGCAGCACGCTGCCCAGGCTCTGGGGGAACGGGGGAAAGGGTGATGGCAGGGCTGGGGGCCAACGTGGGGTCCCTGCCTGTCACATTCACATTCTCTGGAAAAATCCCTTCGCCCAGGATTTTTCTCCTGGGAAGCTGAGAAGCCTCAGAGAAAAAGGAAAACAATTCTCATCTCATTTACTTCTCCTGTGTTTTGCTGCTTTGGAATGTGTTTGGAGATTGTTTACCCACAGGTGTTGGTTGTTTCATTGGTTTCATGTGAATTGTTTTGACTCAATGGCCAATCAGTGCCAAGCTGTGTTGGGACTCTGGAGAGAGTCACGAGTTTTCATTATTATCTTTTTAGCATTCTGTAAGTATCCTTTCTGTATTCTTTAGTATAGTTTAGTATAGCTTTCTTTAATATAAGATAGTATTCATAAAATAATAAATTAGCCTTCTCAGAACATGGAGTCAGGTTCATCATTCCTTTCTGCCATGGGGAACCCCACAAATCCAACACCTGCCCGACATGGGATGGTGTCCCTCACCTTGGAGCTGGGCTGTGCCGTGCCATAGACGGGCATCTTGGGCACCCTGCGGAAGTTGGCCACGCTCATCTCCTTGGCAGTGCTCAGCACATCCGGGCAGAAGCGCTCATCCGCCACCTGGAACAGAGCAATGCCCAGGCAAGGGATGTCCCTTCCCACCCTCAGCTCTGCAGCACTCCACAACCCACAGACACTGCTCAGGACAAGCCCCCAGACCTTTCCAACAGCAGCATCCAGGGCCCAAAGCCCCATGGCTGCGTTTCCAAGGTGGGACAGGCTCTTCCTGTAGCACAAGGCACCAACAGCCCCGGCCTCCTCCACCCCACCATGGAGCTGCTGCCCAGGCTCACGTCAAGGGACGCTCCAGACACATCCACCTGCACAGGGATCTCTGGCCACACATTTATCCTCATGTGGCTCAGGCTGGAAGGGACTTTAAAACCATCTAGTTCCATCCTTGCTGAGGGTGCCAGCAGGAGCTGCTGGAGCCAAGAGCCCACGACACCTGCCCTACAACAGGGAACCCTTTGTGAGACAGCAGGGGGAGCAGGTCGGGGACAAAGAGAACCCCATGTTCATATGGAAACAAAAAGAGTTTATTATCAAGCCTTTCTTTATAAAGGACATTTGAAAAAACAGGTCTGCATAGCTCATAGGTCTGATTTTTTTACTCTCCCCAAATCCTGGACCGGTGACATGCTGGCAGCTTAGGAAGGAAGGTAATTGGCTGAAGTTCCTGTCAGTCAGCCCAGGGGCTAGTTTATGGAGCTGGCTGAGTTGAATTCATTTGCCCATTAAAGCCAGCTTGTACCGTGATATAATGTGGCAACATCTCCTCTTTTTTTCCTTTATTAAATTTGCAACCTGCTGTCTGTCATCCATCTGTAAGGGTGTTGCAGTAAAGTGGAAAAATTGTAAGAAAAAGGTCTCAAAAATCAGGCATGCTCTGGCTAGTCTGTCATTTATTTTAAGTCAAGCTAGCCCTTTGCAAGTTCCCATGTGAAAGCAATCCTGGTGTGAGCAGTTCCTTAGCATAACAATCTATTCCTGGGTAAAAGACAACCAGCACCTGTACAAACTTTTTTTAAGCTGTTAGACAAAAAAATTAAAATTACCTCTCACAAACAACTTTTCCTGCATGTAGACATCAGTGGTTTGAGTGACCAATCAATGCAGGGTGACAACTTGTTAATAACCATTAAAATAATTGTCAAGAAAGCTCCTGACCAATTGGAGTCACACATAAGGTCTGTAAAACTGTATAAAAACTGTATGTGACTGAAGAAGGGGCTTTTTTCCCCATGAAGAACATGGAGTCTGCATTATTTATTCCCGTACAAGGGCCCTTTGCAAACTGGGTGACAGAAGGCAGCACAGGTTTAATCTGCATGAGACCACAGATCACTGGAGCTGCAGCACTCCCTCTAGGAGTTAGGCGACAACTTAGGCTAGCCCATCACAGGCTTAATGGGGTTTTAAAGGATTTCTCCCAGCCCTCCACACCTCTGTGAGGGCAAGCACCCCAGGAAGGTGCCACTCCCACCTGTGCAGTGCCCACTTGCCAGAACTCAGGACATCCCTCTGGCTGTCCTGGATGGCTCCAGCCCCTGCCAGGGGGCTCAGAGACCCTGACACAAAGCCCAGGGCACCTGGGACTTTGATTATGACCCATGGAGCAAATCACTACCTTTATATGAAGGATTACAAGTCAAGAGAGTTTAAGCAGAATAACAATTAGTTAGTAACAGGGTGAAAAATAGATTTTTGGGCTTTTGAGAATGGGGGCTCAGGGTCCCAAGATGGAAGAATTTGGGCATGCCCTGTCCTTATACTTTCTTCTTCCTAGCCTCCATCTTCTGGGTGATGGTGGCACTGTTGGATTGGTTTAGAGACAGACTGTCTAACATAGGTGATAGGTATTGGGAAGTTATGGTAAATAATGTACATGTAGTTTTAGTATTAAAAGATAACACCAGTGTGCCTCAACCCAACCTGCCAGACCTGTGGTGGGTTGGAGAAAGAATGTTATACATAACAAAAAAATAAACAACCTTGAGAACAAGAACAGAAGAATCCTGACTCCTCCTTCAACTGCTGGGCTGGGAAAAGAGACTTGTACCTGTCTCGGGGTCGCTGTGACAGCAGAAGCCCCGGGAGCACTCACCAGCACGCGGGCGCCCTTGGTGAGGAGCTCGGCGGTCACGGTGAGCTCGGCGCGGTTCATGTCAGCCTGCAGCCGGTACAGCTCCGGGCGCCGGCACATCCACCTGCTGAAGCTGAGGGCAAAGCCCAGGGGGTACTGCCGGGGGGGAGGCACCATCAGCCTGGGCTCTGAGCCCCCTGCCCGCCACCCCACCCGGAGAACGCGCTGGGAAAACTCCAAGGGGGATGGAGCAGCTGGTTTGGGGGATCCTCGGGGTGCCCCCTAAGCTGCGTGTTCCCTGGGAGCAGCAGGCAGGGAAAGAGACCCCACAGGGCTTCTGAGGGTGCTGATTAGATGGGAGTTTACTGGGGTCCCACCCATGGGAGCAGCATGGTTCCAGAGGGAGAAGGGAGGGAAGGGGAGAGAGGGAGAGCCTGGGGAGAAAAACGCCAAGAGCATCTCGTCTCCCTTGAACAACTTAACAGGGAGATTCAAGTCTTGGGCCAGTGGGATTACAGATCCATGATACTTCTGGAGAGGATCACAAGCTTGGAATAAACCCTACATTTTCATTTTGGAGGGGTGAGACGGAGCATGCCATTTAAACAAAATGTAACACCATAGGGGGAAGCCCCCACCCTCCCCCCGAATGACAGAGACAAAAACAACAGAAGGCAGGGAAGGTTTTGGGTGGTTCTGGTGGTTTTTACCTGCTCATGAAGGTAGTAGTTGAAGGCAATCAAGTAGAAATAGCGTTCGAGGCTCTGCAGAGTCCTCTGGAGGAAATACTCTTTGGTGCTGCTCCCCTGGAAGTAAAGGACAGGGAGTCTGTGATGCTCAGAGCTGACCAGCCCTGCAGCCCCCAGCAGACCAGGAGGTTGGGAAAGAGCCCTACAGACATTTTGGATGAATTGTTTTTAATTTTTAAATGAAACGTTTCCAGTTTCCCATATTAAATGATGCTCAAAGGCATAAATTCACATTTCAGCTCAAAACAGAAGCTTTCCCTTAGCACAAGGACACACATGGAGCAGTTCCAACCGGTCCATGCTGTCACAGGGACACACTGTCCAGCTGGGACATTCAAACCCAAGGGGATGGGTCTGGAAAATGCAAGGTCCTGCCCCCATTCCAGCCACCTCCATGGCCTTTGGATGAAATGCTCAGGCAGTGGCATCCCTGGGCCAGCCACACACCCTGCAATATCCTTCAGTACCAAGTGTCTCCCTTTTTCTTGTCCAGAGCATCCTGATGCCTATGTTTCCAGAAAGTTCTCCTCCTCCTCTTTATCATCACCTCCACAACCCAGCATATTCTCCACCACAGCTATCCCCTCCCAGGGAGGAAACTCAAACCCTCGGGATTTTCCGTAATTCAGAAACCTCATGGTGGCGGGGGGGTGATTGTACCTCTGAGCACCCCATCCAACAAATGAACCTGGCACCTGGTAAGGGACACCCAGCATGGCATCCACAAGCATCCCCAGGAGCCTGTGGAACCCATTTCCAGGCCAGGATGGAAAACCCTCCAAGATGGGGCCGTGTCCGGGCTCAGCTCGGCGAGCGGGGTTTGCTCATCCCGGACACTCCGTGGCTGACTCATGAATATTTACTTGTTCTCCACAAGAGAAATCCGGCCTGCAGTCATTTATCAAGAGGAAAGGCAGTGGGATTTGCTCTGGAAACTCAAAACAAAGCCTGTGGGGATGGAGCCATGCCAGGTTTGCCGGCAGCACCGACAGCAGAGTGGTGCTGCTGCTTCCCGAGCACTCGGATTCCTGCAAAAAAATCCACCCCAGTGCTCCCACCCAAGGCAAACCTCCCAACATTCCCCTTGAACACCCTGAGGGTGGAAAAGAGAATGATCCACTCATGTTTCAGCCATGGAAAGCCAGGTATTGTGGGAGTCTGGCTGCCCAGCATCCCACACCAGGATTCACCTGCACCTCCATCACCTGAGGGCTTAAATCTCCATTTCTGCCCCCCAAAGAAACCCACAGACATCATTCCTCCATGCCCAGAAATGCCTTTTTTGCCCCCAGAACCAAACCAGCACCACTCCAACACAAAGAAGTCAGGCTGGTTTTCCAAGGACTGAGCATTGTCCGCTCTCCCCTCCTCATCCTCCATGTGCCCCCAGCACATTTTCCTGGCCCCTTGCCACTGTTTAAACCTGCTCTTGCTCCACAAAGACTTCAAATAAACACTCCTTGAGGCTTATTTACGGTAGTCCCCAGCCGTTTGTTGTCCAGGAGTCCAGGATGACACAGAGCAGCTTTCTCCAGCAGGGAAAAGCCAGGGAAAGGCTTCAAGGCAATGGGAAAATCTCCTGTCCCATGCACGTTCAACATTTAAATGGGAAAATTAATCTCCAAAGAAACTGAGATCAGGGCAGCACTTCCACCTGAGCATCCAACCTCCTTCCATCACCTGGTGAGGAGCCCCCTGGCTGGGCAGGGAAGACCCCAGCATGGAAAGCCACCCTGATGGCTCTTCAAAACAGCAGGAAAAAACATAAATCCACAACTAGAAAAGCCTGACCTTGGGTGACTACATTTGCAATGATCCCTCTCAGCTCCCAAGGACTTTTACCATCCAGGCTGATATCGATTTTCCAATTTTAGAGCTGATGAAATCAGGGCACAGGATATTATTTGCCCCCAAGGTCATCTACCAGAAGCAGTAGCAAAGCCCAAACCAGTCTGTTTCCCCCCAGTTTCCCAGCCTGCTCCATTTTATGGCTTTTAGAACAACTGAGGGGGAAAAAAAAAAGAAAGAGACACTCCACAACCTTCCAGGTTTCATATCCCTGGGAAATCTCCAGCTCACAGGAAGCTTTGGGTTGCCAGAATTTACATTCTTCTCATCCCGGCGCAAAAACAGCTCAATAAATTTCCCGGTGCCGATGGCTCCCATCCGAGCACTCCTCTGATTACCTGGATCTGATAGTCCTCCCCAATGCCTTCCAGCTTCTTCTTGTTCTCGTAGATGGCTTCCTTCATGTCGTGCATCTCCGAGCAGGAGGCGATGGCGCCGTCCACCTCGGAAGGAGCAAGAGGGAAATTGCTCCGTAAGCCTCGGATCTGGGGGGAAACTCCATTCCTCCCTCCCAGCCACCCTGCTGGAGGGTTCACCATCACCCCCTTACCTCCTCCACTATCTGCTGGCCTTTGGGGACCATCTCCATGAAGGCCTGGATGACCCGGAGCCTGTCCCTGGGAGATGTCTTGGGCAAGGGGGGGAAGCTGCGGTGGGAGAAGGAGGAAATCAAACCAGCCCCAGGGGGAATGGGCATGGCCCCAGTCCCACCCTGGGGGCTGCTCTGCTTACTCAGGCTTCTGGGCAGCGCCTCGGTGGTGGTGGAGGACCAGGGTGCCCATGGCCATGGCCAGGTTGGTCCTGCCCACGCCGGTCTGGCAGCCAAAGAGCAGCGCGGGCGGGGGCCGGCCGGGGTCCCGCAGCAGCAGGCTGGGGCTCTCCTGGGAGGGACAGACACAGGGAGGGATGGAGACCCCAGCAGCCTCCAGGAGAGCCAGGTCTGCCCCATCAGCGGCTGGGATGGAGGCCATGCCCAGGCATGGAGGGGTGGGTAGCCTCTCCCTTTTCCTCAGGGGATGGGGTGGATGGAGAACAGGACAATGGGTGGCCCACCCACTGCATTGCCCTGCCCAGTGCACTCTCCATCCACCTCACTAGAGATGTTCCCACCACTCATCCCCAGCCCACTGACATTTCATTTTCCAGAATGTTAAAGGAAAAAAAAAGCAGCTCTGACGTGGAAAACCTTTGCAGCAAAGGCAAATCATTCCTGCCAAAGCCATTTAGGGAAAAGCTGCCTGGAGTGGCCAGGGATGGTCATTTCTAGCCAGGGGTAGGGATGAACTGCTGGACAACATTGACATCTCCAGCAGCATCCTACAGCAAAGGGAGTGGGATCTGCAGGCACAGACATCCACCAACAGGCAAAGTTAAGGAAAACCAGAAGATGCTCTCAGGCAGTCATGGTCTCCACACAGCACAGGAGCAAACCCCACCCCAAGGAGGCCCCAAGGACCAGCTGCTTTCCCTGTGCTCACCCTGAGGCAGCGGATGAAAGCATCAAACTGCTCCTCCAGAGGGGCTCCCTCGGCGGGCAGGGGCAGCCGGTGGTACCTGCGGGACACCCTGTGAGGACGGCACCACGGAGGGGCTCCATCCCCACCACCATGGGGGACACGCGGCCTGAGGGCTGCCAGGAGGAGGAGGAGGAGGAGGAGGAAGGACCTGTAGGAGGGCTGGAGGAAGACAGGCCTGCGATAGACCTCGTCGGTGACCTGGATGTCCTCGTCGCAGTGCACGCGCACGGCGTGGGGCTCGTCGCGCAGCCGCTCGATGTCGTTGTACACGTAGTACACGCTCTCGCTCAGCTGCGCGAAGTCACGGATCTGCAGGAGACGGGAAAAGCCCCGTCACAAACTCTCCTCTGGCTCTGACCCCTGGGATGTGCCCCATTCCCTCCCAGCTCACCTCCTTGCGGATGGCCAGCTCAAGGCTCTCGGCCCGCACGCCGCGCTGCAGGCGCTGCAGGTTCTCATGCAGGTTCTCCTTGCCCCGGGGCGTGTAGGACACAAAGTCCCCCTCCAGCCGCAGGAACACCACGGGCTCCTCGCGGACACAGAAGAAGACACATTCCTGCAAAGAGCGGGGGAGAAGCTCTAAAAGCTCTCCTGGCTTTTTCCCCACCCCAGCTCCCACTCTCCCACCAACCTTGTGGCCTTCTCTCTGCAGCTTCTGCAGCACGAGCTTGAAGCCATTGAGGCTGGGCTGCCCCATCCCGAACACGGCGTAACCTCCCTTGGCCTGACGGAAGTTGGGAGCGCCGCAGCTGCCAGTAGTGTTCAAAACATCCAATTTTCCATACACATCCCTGACCATGAAGTATTTCCCCTGCAAAACAACAGAAGAGAGAAGGTGGATTTGAGCAAGGTGGGACTTCAACACAGCTCAGTGCAAAAGTGGATTTGAGAAAGTGGGACATCAGTGGATTTGGACTTCAACATAGCTGAGTGTAAAAGTGGCTTTTTCTACATGATCTTTAAAATGAGCCCCCATAAAAACTCCCGAGGTCCCCAAAGGCCAGGCTGAAATGAGCTGGGTGATGAAATCGGTGGCAGAGATGCTCACCTGCACCAGGTAGTGCTCCAGCGTGGCCTCAGAAATGCGTCCCACCGTGTAGTTGGCCTTGAGCAGGTCATCGTGGATCTGGAACTCCTCCCTGCAGTTGTACCTGCAAGAGCCACACGCACACAGATGGGTAAAGGGAAAAAAACAATGGCATAGGTCAAAATCAAAACAAGCCCCAATATTTAGAGAAGAAGGTGGAGAAACCCAGGATTCTGAAGGCTGCCGAGGACTTACGTGATGACCACGGGCGCCACTTTGTTGGTGATGATGGACTTGGCCTTGCTGTTGTGGAGCCCCAGGGTCTGGAAGGAGTGGATGCTGAGGGAGTGCTGGTCCTCCATGCTGCCGTCTCCCGGCGCCCGGCTCTCCAGGGGCGATGCCGAGACCGCCTGCTGCGCTGCGCTGGCCGTCGTACCCATCATCCGTGGGCAGCTCTGCCAGGGCAGGGATGGAAGGGGGAAAGGCAAAACGGAAAACAAGGAGGTGGGGGAAGAAAGAAAAGGGAGGAGGAATTTATTCTTCAGCCGGTGCTGATTTAGGATGGGAAAATCCCAGGCAGGCACAGGGCAACCCGCTGCTGACAGGCGGCCAGGGAGGGAAGCTCAGCCAGCCCTTTCTTCCCGCTCCCACAAAAGGCTTTATTCCTGCCTGCCATGCAGCTTGCTCCATCGGGGAGGTGAAAGTAGGGCTGAGGAGGGAGGGGGGGAATGAAGGGCAAAATGCTGGATCGGATCCCTAAAATCTGCTGAGTCAGCACATGGCACTGCACAGAGCCTCGTCCCCTGCTTTCCCAGCACCCACAAACCACTCCCGAGTCCCTCCCCGCGTGGAAAACTCTGGAACAGAGAGCACATGTTACTGGGGGTTTGGTGTGTGCGAGCCTGGAAGCAGCCGGTTATCCCCATCCCAGGGGAGCACCCAGGGCAGCAGGGACCCCAAAAGCAGCCCCTGCTCCATCCCCAGGGAGCTCATCCCTGCACAGGGATGGAAGGGAAAGGGCCAGGCCTGGCGGCGGCCAGGAGCATCCCGCCACACTCCAGCGGGCTGGGACAATGAGCCGACTGTCTGCGCCAGCCAGGGCCGGATCCCGGCTTCCCAACAAAGCCAGGGAAGGCAAAGGGCTAGCCTGGAAAAGACAAGGACTCTGCCCACTCCTAACGAGACAGTTCCCAGTGAAACCTCCTTTGTGCTGCGTGGGAATAACCCTGGCAGCACCCGAGAGGGGACGGTACCTGCTCCGAAGCGATGCTCAGCGCTGGAATACCGGGAATGGCTTTAACCCCGGGAATGGCTTGAACCCACCCCTACAAACCCTTCTGCAGCTGCTCCTCCTGCCTCACAGGCAGCGCAGGATCAACCCCTCACTGCAATCCCTGCAAATGTGATGCCCCCAGCAGCTGCAAATGCTTCAAGCGGGGGGAAAAGCCTGCGGAAAATGTGCTATTTCTAGCCCCTGTGCCCAGGCACACATTTTCCCCTCCTCCCCATCTTCCTTCCCTGCTCCACGGAAAACTTGTTGCTCTACTGTGAATTTTCTGCACCATTAGGCAGCCTGGTTTCTTTTACACACAAGAGCAGAGGGGGGGGGAAAACAAAAACAGCTGTTTCAGGCCAGTGCCATTTCTCCAAAGTTGCCTTGAGTGTTTCTTTCATGGAAACACTGTGAGGGCAAAAATAAAGAAAAAAAAACAAACAGGGAGGTTTTGAGTGCTTCAGAGCAAGTGCTCGAGGCTTTGGAGAGCTCAGGCAGCAAGCAGGAATGGGGAATCCAGCCAGGATGCTTTTTTTCCCTAATACTGCTCAGAATGGGTGCACTTTTCAACAGTGAGCTGGATCGATCCCTCCAGCCATGCCCATGCTGCAGGATGGAGATTGCACCCCCCAGTTCCAAGGCAGGCAGCTCCTGTATGCCTTTTGTCCTTCTCCCCTCCCCACAGACACCCACTTTCACCCTAAAACCCCCAGGGATATTTTCTTTTCCCGACAAACCACACCAAGAAATAACAGGCATAAAAGATGCCGGGCAGATTTGGAAATTGCCTTTCAAACCACAAAATGAACAGAGAGAGGAAATCACATCTCAGCTTCTTCCCCTACTCCCTGCTTAGGCTGGGCACGCAAAACCAAGCAAGAAAAGTACCGAAATTACCCAAAATGGGTGCTGAGGGAAGCCAAGGGAACTGCTCTAAAAAGCCACGGGAAGAGGGAAGTTCTGTGGTGTTATCCAAATGGGAGCAGCTATGTACTGGTGTTGTTGCATCTGATGGGAGCAGGATGATTTACATCCCCCAGTGCCCACTCTGCAAGCTGGGACACAAACTGGGATGGGTAGGGAAGCAAAACCCTACCCCAGGAAAACAGATAAAATGATTTTGACTGAAAACTTTACCAAATATTGCTGGTGGCTGCAATGGGAAGAGATGCAATGAAGCCACTATCACAGGCCAGCCAAGGGAAGCAGGAGCCCAGGGCCCAGCCTGGCAGGGACCAGCCCACCAAAGGGCTCTGGATTAGCCCAAATATCATTGTTTTCCATATCACTGTTTTCCCCATCGCTGGTCACTGTTAGCAAGCACCATGAGATGTTCCTGCACTGGAACAGGACACCCAGAGATGTTAATGCCTCTCAGAGTGCTCAGGGCTGGATGGAGCTTGGAGCAACCTGGTCTAGTGGAAGATGTCTCTGCTCATGGCAGAGGGGTGGAACATGATCTCTAAGGTCCTTCCCACCCCAAACCATTGTGGGATTCTGTGATTCCAGGTTAGGAGGCTGGGAAGCCAGCCACGTGGATATTACAATGTCGTTAGCCGTCAGCTGGCATGGGTTGGTTTTGAGCATCCCTTCCCTTTCACCACACTGCATTTGGGGGTTTCCTTCCTAGGAGAGAGAGGACACAGAGACAACACCCCCCTGCACAACATCCTGGCCTCCTGTCTGCCCTTCTTTTTTGGGGACAAACCCTAGAAATATTCCCCGAGCTGGCAGCTCATCCCTTCACAGACCCCAAAGCCAAGCCTAAGACCAGTCATGGCCAAGGCTCCTGAACAAAGAGCCCATTTTCTCCCCAGCTGCCAAAAGAGCCAACACCCTGCACGAGGGCATCCCACCAAACAAACCAGCAGTGTTCCTCTCCAGGTGTTTTCCCTAAATTCAAAGCACTGCCGATTAATTATTCTTGCTGCCTAACGAGAAACCAGAGCCCCGGGTGGGCAGGGCAGAAGTGCTTCCCTTCCCCTCCAGACCCTGTTTCAAACCATCCAGCTCTGCCAAGCCTGGACAGGGAATACCAGAGGAGGCACCAGAAGCATCCCAAGAATTCCACTCGAGCATGCCAAGGCATCCTGCGCGTGCAATGCCGCAGCCTCTCCCACAGAAGCCACGATGCTGTAACAGCGCTCTGCCCTCCATCTTCCCACCTCTCCCACCCTCCACCCGGCCCAGGGGTTATTCCCCCACCCAGGGACCTGGAGAGGACTCAAAGCTGGAGCAAACAATGGACTAAATATAGTGGGAGGTGGTCAGGCTGCAGCTGCAGGATGCATCTGCCCCGGCCACCGCGCCGAGGAGGAAGCGTGCACTTGCCTGGCCGCCTCATTGTCAGCAGGAAATAAATCAAATAAATCTCCTCCCATGCATCCTCGGGATATTTTATAGCTTTTAAAGCTCCTCTAAATGAAAAGCAAAGCCCTTTGGGAAGAAGCAGCATCCTCCTAATGAATCCATCTTTCCTCAGCATGGGGCAGCCCCTGTGGCTTTTCAGCGTGGAGCCGGCATGGATGCATCTCCGAGGGACCCAGGGGCACCCCTGGAGCACTGCTGAGCCAAGCAGGGAGGCAGGAAACACCTCAGGCCAGCAGGAAGCTCTGGTGCAGCCAGAGGGGCATCACTGGAGCCTGGAGGAAGCGGAGCTGGAGCTGAGCCCCCCGCCCCGGCGTGCTCTTTAACCCCCTTCAAAAAAAACAGCAGAAATGAAATCCCACACAAACAGCTTCTGTGGGACAGCCTGGAGATGTCCCAGAGCCAAGGCTGCATGGGAACCAGGCTCCTGTTGTTCCAGGTGATGCCGGAAGGAAGCGGCTTGGCTTCTCAAAAGCACATAATTAAACAAAAAATAAAGGTGAGAAATAACACATTAAGCTGCGGATGATTTGGGATGTGTTATCCTGTGAGGGTAAAATAAGGCAAAGAACAAAAATGCCTCAAATCAACCTAAAAGCGCTTTGCCACAGGCAGGAAAAGGCCCTGGAAAGACAACTTTGCAGCAGACAGCTCTGCTTTTACAAGCCTTGACTGATTTATTACATCTTTAAAGGAGCAAAAGTGACTGCCCTCCGTCCTCAGGAGCTCCTCGGAGAGCTGGTGGTGATGGCCAAAAATACAACGAAATAAGCAGCATTTCCTGGAAAGTCCAGAGGTGTTTCCCAGTCAGGCCAGGATCGGTGCTGCCAATCCCCCCACCAGCATCTGCCGAGCACCACAGGACAGCATCAGTGAGATGTCTGCCCCCAAATCCGAGCAGGAGCATCCAGAACAACGAGGATCAGGCATTTCACACCCCCTCCCCAACATGCTCCTGGTTTTTGGCAGAAAACCGAGTGCCACATCCCCATCCTCCATGTGACCAACTTGCCTTTAGTTACTCGACTTAGAGCCCCCATCCTGAAGCCAGGAAAAGCTGTTTGAGACAAGGAATGGAGGAGAAAAAAGTCACCCCAAAAGTGGGGATGCCAGTCTGCTCCCCACCGTGAGGAGGATGCTAGTATCCATTGGGAATGGTATCCAGGGCTGCAGCCCCTCTTCACAAACCTGGTTTGCATTATTAATCAGTTTAATTAAACAGCCTTGCCTCGCTAAGCACAGCCTGGGAGGAATTACATTCCTGGAAGTGTTGGATAGGGCTCGGAGCAGCCTGGTCTGGTGGAAGGTGTCCCTGCCCATGGGAGGGGTGGGATGGGATGCCCTTTAAGGTCCTTTCCAAACCACTGGTGGCTCCAGGGTTTTGCAGAGAGCCCACGTTTTAAGGCCTGATGGCAGGTTCCATCTGTCCCTGGGCTGCTGCTGTTTGGGCAGGCAGGAGATGCTGGGGCTGCCTGCTGTTGGGGTGAGGGGTTTCACCAAGGAGCAGCCATGGAAAGAGGAACAAAGCCCTGACTGGGAAGCACCAGCGCTGCCAGCCGTGCCCTCAGCTCACTGCCAGTGCTCTCAAGGTCTGCCTGAAGGGTTTCCTTTCAGCAGCACAAAGCAAAAAACAAAACAAAAAGCCGTAAAACATGAGGATAAAGGCTGGGGGGCATCTCCAAAGAGACCAGCGACCTGCGGGCAAAGCTTTTGTCCAACACCAAACATTCCCCAGCCTGCCAGGAAGCTCCACAGCCCCACACCCAAACCAGACCTGCCAAGCTCTTCCCTGACAGAGGTTCTGTGGTGTGACCCCGCTCTGGGGAAGCAGGGTTACATTCTCCTCCACTCCCCGCTCTGGGGGAGCAGGGTGTCCCCAAGGGTGGGGATCTCAGCCTGTGTCCCCAGCACAGCCCCGGGATGGGCAGCGCCAGGCGGAGCCGGCCTTTGGGAAGGCCAGGGCTGTGATTTTGTGCTATTCATAGCAAACCATGGCTCCCCTCCCAACGCGGGGAAGGCAGCCGGAGCAAAGGGACGGCTCCGTTTACACGGGGCCGCTTTTCCACGCCGACCACACCTTTGCCAGGACAAGCAGCACCTTATGCACACCAGCAGCGTGGCTTGGGTTTGGGACTCGGAGCTCGCAGGTCTCCTCTCTCTCCCGCCCCGCTCTCTTAATAAATAAAGCAAAAATCAAGCAAATCCCAGGGGGGTTTCGCTCACAGCAGAGACCTGCCCGTTATTTTTAGGCTCCGTGCACAGACATAATCACTTCCTGCCTTCCAGGAAGGAAATGTCCCACCGCCGCTGCCTGCCTGCCTCCTCCTCAGGCAGTGCCTACCTCCTCCTCAGCCAGCCCAGCCACCCCAGCCACCCCAAAACCCGCTGGTTTCTCCCGCCCAGGGCAGGAAAACAAGCTCGGGGTGTGAGGGGTGCCACGGCCGGGGGAAGGCGAGGGGGTGCTGGCTCCCCCAGCACCGAGAGGATGCGCCGGGCAAAGGGCAGGGAAGCAGGTCCGGAAAAGTCGGGCAGCCATCGGAAAGGCAGCCTGGATGGGGTTTCTGGAAGTTTTGAGCGCCGAGGAGCTGGGCGGGAGCTCGGCGGGTGCCGGCAGCCTTGCTCCCGGGACATTCCCGCCGGTGACTCGGTGCCACAGGGGCTGGAGCCCACCGGGCTCGGCGCCATCCATCCATCCCCACGTGCCAGCGGGAACGGAGCTCATCCCAGCCTTTGGCTGCCCGGTCAAACCTCGGCTACATCTGCTCCTCTTCCTCCTCCATCTTCATCCCCCGGCACCTCCCCGCTCCCAGAGCCTGCTCCCCGGGCGGCTTTGGGGGTGCGAGGGAGGCACAGCCAAGAGATGCAAATCCCAAAACTCGCTCTGGAGCCGCGGAAGGCACAGCCGGCACCGGCCCACAGCCGTGCTGGGCTCCCAGCCGTGCTGGGCTGGCTTCCAGGCCAAAAGAGGCAGAGAAAAAGCCCCTTTTAAACAGCAAACGCAACCCAAAGGCAGGAGAGGTGGGAGGATGCCATCGGCGGGGCGCACGCTGGGCCTCAGCCCCAGCGATCCATCTCTTTTCCAGAGGTTTGGAGCCCACCCTCGGCTCCAGATAAACCCTCCTGGCCACGGCTGGGGCACATCATGGCCACGCCGTGGGCTCTGTGCTCCAGGGGCAAACAAACCTTCCCCCATTGTCCCGCCCGCCTTGCCTTGGGGGCGCCCCCCGCCCCCGGGTGCCCATCACAAACCCCCGGAGGGTGAGGGGACTCTCGAGGGCCTCCATCCATCCCTTCCCACCGCACCGGGCCGGGAAACGAGCCCCAGCACCCCAAGGAAGGGATAAGAGGGGCAGCCGGTCCCGGGGAGGCTGCCCGGGGCCGGGATGGGGTGCGGAGCGGGGCAGGATGCCCGGAGCCGGGGCTGGAGCGGGGGAACACCCAGTCCCGGGGCTCGGGAGAAGAATTCCCGGTTTGGGCTCGGGGGATGCGCGGTCCGGGCGGGGGTTCGGTACCTGGGGGCTCCGGGCTCAGCTGCCGCGCCGGGCCGGCCGCGCCGTCGGGCGCCCCATGGGGGCGGCGGGAGCGGTGGCGGGAGCGCAGCCCCGCGGCCGCGCCGACCGCCGGCGCCTCGGCGGGGAGGGAGCGGGGCGGGCACCGGGACGGGGCCGAGGGGCGGCCGGGACCGCCCCCGCCTCGGGAACACGCCCCCTGCCCCGCCCCCTGCCCCGCCGGGACACCGGCACCGCGGGGACACCGGGCACGCAGCGCCCCCAGACACAGCCACTGTCACCTTAGAGACCCCTAACAAGCATCCCCCATGGTCTCGGGGACACCCAGCCCGCAGCACCCCCCAAACACAGTCATTGTTACCTTAGGGACACTCAGCATGCAGCACCCCCAAACACAGCCACTGTCACCTTAGGGACACCGGGCACGCAGCACCCCCAAACACAGCCATGGTCACCTTAGGGATCCCTGACACACTGTCCCTATCTTCTAGGGGACACTCGGCCGGCAGCATCCCCAAACACAGCCATTGTTACCTTAGGGACCCCTGTCATGCAGTCCCATCGTGTTGGGGGACACCCGGCCCACAGCACCCCCAAACACAGCCACCGTGCCCTTAGGGACACCCGGCATGCAGCACCCCCAAACACAGCCCCTGTCCCCTTAGGGACCCCTGACACGCTGCCCCATCATCTCGGGGACACCCAGGGACTCCCAGCATGCTGATCCTTCCCTCATCTCCTGGTGACAAACCAGAGAGGGGTTGGGACAGAGAGGGGACTGTCAGATGCCACCACCCCAGCCAGGTCTGCAGTTTTGGGGACATCAAGGCACTGCTGGCACCTCTCAAAGGCAAAAAGTGCTTTTCCTTCCCAGACATGGTAGATGGGGATGTGTGTGATGGAAGCTCTATATACCCTGCCCTCTGGCTGTTCAGAACCATTCCCCTTTCTCCTGGCACTCCATGCCCTTGTCCAAAATCCCTCTGCAGCTCTCTTGGAGCCCCTTTGGGCACTGAAAGGGGCTCTAAGGTCTTCCTGGAGCTTTCTCTTCTCCACACCAACACCCCCTGCATTTCCAGCCTGGCTCCATAGGAAACATCAGGGCTCTCCCAGCTCTCTGAGCCATCCTTCCTTGCTCAGGCCACTCAGATTCCTGGGAAATAAGGCTGCTGCCCACCCACCCAGCTGCTTCCCACACCCTGCAGGGTGCCCCGTGGTGGGCTCTTGCCATGGCTTCACCAGTACCAGCAGCTCCAGCACCAGCTGTGCTCAGGATCCACTACTGCACAGAGTGAATCCATCAGGCCACTTCAGGCTCCCCTCGTTGCCACACAAGGATGCTATTTCAGCTAATCCACAAAACCCCAATCCTTTCAGCTCCTACCTGCCTTGCCACATTCCATTGGGGTTAGAACAGTGGCTCCCAGAGCCCCCCAGGTAGGACCCCAACCCCACCTCCCCCTGAGCCTCCCCAGCGTTACAGCCCTGCCCACACCCAGCACCATCCACGGCTGCCGTGCTGCTCCCAATCAGTGCTTGGAGGACACCAGCAGGGCGAAGGAGAAGGAGAAAAACGGCATCAACACGTTCACTGGCACTGGGAAGGAGGGCCAGGAATGTAAACGCAGCCCAGAGCTAGTCCGAAAATGGTAACAGCTGGAAAGGAGGGCTGGAAAGTTTGTTCCTCAGGATCCGAGATCCTAGCCAGGCTCCCAGCATCCAGCCCAGCCAAAATACCCTGCCCTCAGCTGCTCTGCTGCATTTGCAGTCCTGGATTGAAATTTTAACACTTTTGAAATTTATTTTAATTCTCTGTTTTAAGATCCCAAATCAGTATCTAGAAGCCCCTTAGGGAGGAGCACACCAAAACCCAGGGATTCACACACACATCTCCTCACTACAGGGGCTTTGATAGCTGGGATTAACACATTAAAAACACCCAAAAATCTGAGAGGGAACCAGTTGTCACTGGCAGTGCCTGGCCTAAACCAGATTCAGGGAACAGCAGCTCCCAAACGCCTCGTCAGCAATTTTCCTCGCCGTGTTCCTCTCCGTACGCACGCTCCAGATTTCCCTGACTCTGCAGAATTAAACTGCTGCAATATGAGCACAATCCACGGGAGGTCATGACAGGACCACTCCGAGTGCAGCCAAAGCAGGGTGCTCCAGGAGGGCCCCCCAAACCCTTGGAAACGCCCCCCCAGCCTCACCCCTGGGATGTGAATGCTTTGGGAATGTGATGTGCTGCTGTGGTATTTCACACACACAGCTGAGGTGCCCTCAGGGGATGATTCCCCAAGTGATGCTGGTGGTTTGCTGAGGCACCCACAAAAACTCGGAGGCACCCTCTGTAGGCAGAGGGAGGGGACAGACATCCCATTGCTGCCCCTCCCTCAGTGCCCTAGTCGGGGAAAAGGACTTGGCTGCTCAGACCCCTCCCCAATTACAGTAGATGGTATAAAAGAGTTAAAAAGTGGTTTAAAATTTTGAAAATATATTACAATGCAATATATTAACATATATTAACATTGCTCCAAGTCCCATCCAAAAAGTCCTTGAAGACTTCCAGGGCTGAGATCAGGACAAATTATCAGTTTGGGGCAGTTTTGCACATGGAAAACCTGTGGGAAAATCAGGTTTCTCTGTATGTGACATTTTGCAATTTCACCCTCAGCTGCTGGTTCTGGGTTTGACCCTTCCCTGCTCTCTAGGCACGACTGGGAGAGAGCCCATGAGGGGAGTTTGCTCCAAAGGGAAGGGAAAACCCTCTCCACCCCCTGAATCACAGTCCAAACCACCCTGATTTAGTAGAACCAAAATCTTTATTGATCTCACTGTAACAGCAACCACTGGCGAGAGCTTTTCTCCTCCCAAACACCTGCTTGAAGAGACGGTACAAAACAACAGAAATCCCAAACGGAGCCCCTGACTAGCAGAGGGACTCTGACTAGCAGAGGAACACCCCGGTGAGGCCAGGCACTCCTCCCTGCTCAGCCCCCAGCCCGCTTACAAAAGAGAACCTTTGCGCAGAAAAGTTGCTGGGATGGGGAACGGAGATACAGGGAGGTTGGGAAAGGGGACATTTAGAGAAAAAAAAAAAAAAAGACAAAAAAGGTTTCCCTCCGGCTCCTGTCCATTAAGTCACATTGTCCTTGGATATGGTCTGATTGCCTTTGGCTAGCAGAGCAGGTTTTTCCCAAAAGGAGCAGCTGTGCTCGAGGGTGCCAGCTACCTGCATCCTCTGCCAAGGATGTCCTCGCCCCCTGCCCTGCCCCTCCCTCGATCCGAGGGCCTAACCGACCTCCTAGGATCTTGGCTTCAAGGAAAATATATTTATTTCTATATAATATATATATTTGTGTGTGTCTCATCACCACCCACCCACCCACACGCGCTGCCACTCGCACTCACTCACTCGTGCGCCCACGGCTGCCGCGCTCACCTCACCTCCCACGCCAGGGCAAGGATGGCAAAGACAACCCCATCCCCTGGGGCTGTGCTTTTGCTTCTGCCTCCCCCACCCCCAAAACGAGGGGCAGCCCCCGCTCCCTGTGAGAAAAGCAGCTGGAAGATGGGAGCTGGCCATCAGCGCCGTGCCAAACACACCTAGAGAAATAAATTACGGGATGGAAAGTGCACAAAGCCTGTGGGGTGTCCCGCTCCCCAGCATGGGTAACGAGGTGTGGGGAGACCCCAGCGAGGGAGGGACCATGGATGGAGCAGGCACTCAGGTGGGGGCTGATAAAATGGCACTTGAGAAGCTTGCAGAGCTGGTGATGGCTCCCAACAGTAAAAAATCCCAACAGTAAAAAATCAGAACTGGGGGGGCTGGTGGGACTGGGGGACGCAGCCGTGCCCAGCGCCGCTGGTCAGGGCAAGAGTCACATGGAGAGAGGGGCAAAAAGAAACCCCATCTCCAGGGGAGGTTCGAGATGGCCATGCCATGCCAGGCTGGCAAAGGGGAGGTCGATGTGGAAATGCTTCATCCACGACAGCATGATCCAGCTGGGAGAAATGCCATCCTGAGAGCTGAGGGTGGCATCGATGGCAGCGCCCTGCGAGGGGGGAGAGCGCCCCATCCCTGCAGTGCCTGGTGAGCCCCCACAGCCCCCAGGGACACCCAGCGATTCCTGAGACATCCAACGGTGCCAGAGGGATCTCCCCCCTGTAGGATTCACATTTTAAAGGGCTGGGGGGTAAAAAATCCGAGCACTACAAAGCACTTTCCCAGAGGCACTCGGCCCCAGCCCATACAAAGTCGTTGGGGGTGAGGTGCTCCTTTTTAGTACCAAAAATAAAAGCAAGGGGGTTTTATAAAACATGGCTACATTGCTGTGAGTCCTGGCTGGTGGGTGGGGGACACAGCCCCTGGCTGGAGGGCCAAGATGGAAGAAATCCACGTAGGAGAGATGTGGACACGCTGGCTGATTCCATCAGGGACACTGGACCCCTGGAGCACCGAAGGGAACAGGGTCCCAGTGCTGTCCTTTGCTGAATGCCAACACACCCCAGGGAAACTCAAAAAATGCCCTCCCCAGGGTGCAAGCAGGTGCATGATTTTAGGAGTGATGTTTCCCCCTCCTCCTGACAGGCTGCCCAGATTTTCCAGAAGAAGGGGGCACAGGGGGTGACACAGCTCCAGAACACCAAGCTGCTGGCCATGGGAGGCTTGGGTAACAAGAGAGGGGAATTTTGTGGGGGCACGAGGCAGCAGAAGAGGCAAAGGGATGTTTTAGAAAGAAGCCTGGTGGAGATCAGGCTGCTGGCAGGTGGAAGAGGAGGAACAGGGATGCTCCGTCTGGCACATGCTGGGACCGCTCACCCGCAGAGGGGGAGAAGACAGAGCCGCACTCCCCCCAAAAAAGAGGGGGAAGAGGAGGGCGGGGAGGGGACGCTGGTGGGGACCACTGCCACCTCCACCTCGCCGGGACGGATCCTGCTAAGCCGAATGGGGGTGCACAGGGCTGGGGAGTCGCTGCCTCTCTGTGGTTCCCGCTCAGATATCCATCTCGAACTGAGCTTCGTCCCCTGGCAAGAGACAAGGAGAGCAGCGTTAGGGGCGTCATCCTCCACCCCAAATCCCTCCTGTCCCGCCCCGGGGGTCCCTTACCCATGGATGGCTTGCCCTCCTGGTGGTTCAAGTTGTTGGTGTCCGCTTTGGGCTCCTCGCCGGGCTCGCCGGGGCTGGTGACGCCTGGGATATTGGGGAGGTGACAAGGCGGGGTCTTGGCCATGGGGGAGTTGCGACGGTCCAGCAGGAACTTGCGGTCGTAGATGATCCGGGTGCCTGGGGGGAGGACGGGAGCAGAGTGGGGGAATCCGGTTCGGCAGCGCATGTTTGCCGAAGGAGTTTCCCGGCGGGACGGGCCAAGGTTCTCCGCCCGGGGATCGGCGGGGAGGGCTGGGGGTGCGCGCCGCCGCTCTGCCCGCTCTTATCTGGGCACAACAGGCGATAATTCGGCCAAACACCCCGGCCGCAACCGGGTCCCGGCTGCCCGGGGGCGCTCCACGCTGTCCCGAGCAAGCACACCCTGTCCCGGGGATGCCGGTGGAAGCGGCACCCCGAATCACCACGTGTCCCTCTGCGCTACACGGGGACAGGCGTGTCACCGCCCCGCGGCACCGGGCCGGGGCAGGGCCGAGGCACCGAGCCCCGGTGCCCGCGTCCCGCCGGGAGCTCCCCGCCAGCCCGTCCCGGGAGCCAGCTGCCGCCCCGCCGGGACCCTCCGCGCTCCCGGTACGCCCCGGAAAAACAACAAACCCATCCCCACGCGTGTGCGTGGAGGAGAGCGGGCGGAAAGCGCTCCGTACCCACGGCATACAGAGGGGATACGGGCGCGGCACGCACGGTCCGCCCGCGACACGCGGCGCTCAGGCTGGCCCGGGCGCGCTCCCCCGGAGGCCCCGGCGGGCGCGGCGCTTTTACCTCCGGGCGTGGTGGAGAAGAGCGTCCCGCCGGGGGTGGTGCAGTAGTCGGCGGGGAGCTGCGCGGCGTCGCTGAGCGTGACGGTGCGGGTGGGGATGGCCCGGCTCTGGCTGGGCTGGCGGCCGCCTGCGGACGACATGGCCCCCGCTCGGCGCCGCGCTTTGTCCCCGCCGAGCGGGCGGGCGGAGCGGGACCGCCCCTCCCTGGGACCGACCCTGGAACCTCCCCGGGCCCGCCTCAGGACCGCCCCGCCCCGGGCCCGCCCCGGCCGCTCCGCCGCCAGGGGGCAGGCGTGTTGCCACGCGGCCTTGTTCGCGCCTCCCACGTGGTCTAGCGGTTAGGATTCCTGGTTTTCACCCAGGCGGCCCGGGTTCGACTCCCGGCGTGGGAAGCTCGAGCTTTTGGGTTTTGTTTTTTTTTGGGAGGGGGGAAGGAAGGGTGCTGGTGTCCTGATGTCCTGATGTCCTGCCCAGGATGCCTTCGGGCAGAATGTTTTGGCTACACCGAGCTGAATGAAGTCACCGGGAAAAGGAATGCATCCAAATATCCCAAATCAGGAAATGGGTTCTGTCCCCATATACCATTTCAGGAAATGAGTTGTAGCCCCATATCCTCTCTCAGGAAAGGAGTTGTATCCCCATACCCCAAACCAGGAAAGCGGTTGTAGCCCCACATCCAAACCAGGAAAGGGGTTTTAGCCCCATATCCTGTATCAGGAAAGGGGTTCTGTCCCCATATCACATACCAGGAAAGGGGCTGTATCCCAATATCCCATACCAGGGAATAGCATTCACCTCCATATCCCAAACCAGGAAAAGGGCATGGATCCCTATATCCCAAATAAGGAAAGGGGTTGCATCCCCTTATGGCAAACCAGGAGAGGACTTGCATCCCCATATCCCACACAAGGAAAGGACACCCATGCCCATGTCCCAAACCAGGGAAGAGGATTCATCCCCATATCCCAAGCCAGGAAAATGGCATATCCAATACCAGGAGGGGGGAATGCATCCAAATATCTCAAACCAGGAAAAGGGATGCACCTTCATTTCCCAAACAAGGAAAGGAGACGAATCCCCATATCCCATACCAGGAAAGGGGATACATCCCCATATCCCAAACCAGGGAACAGAATGCACCTACATACCCTAAAAGCACCATCATCCTGGAAAGCTGGGAATCTCACCACGAGGGACATGCCAGCCCCAGCACAGCCTCCCTCTCCTGGGAACACTGATCCCATCGGTTATTTTTAGCATCCCTCTCCCGGAGAGCAGAGGTTGGTTTCTCCCTCCAGCCTGGATCCCGCAGGGCACAGCGCATTCCCGGCGGGCCCGGCCGCCCTCCTGCACCGGCGGATGGGCGAGGCGGTGGCCCGGGTGGCCAGGAAGGTGAACGACACGGTGGAGAACAAGGCGGATTCCCTGGGTAAGGCGGGCGGAGGACAAAGCGGATTCCCGGCGCTCCGTCCCGGGGCCGCGCAGGGATCGGGTGGCCGGAGCAGGGCTCTGGGTTTCACTGCCACAGCCTAAAAAAAGCTGTCGGCGCTCCCTCCCCGCGGATCTGCAGAAGGCAAAGGCTCCCCCAAAGGGCCCTCAAAGCCAGAGCAGGTTCACGTAATCCCGTGGGATGTGTCCCCTCCTTGGGAGCAGCGGCAGGAGCAGATTTTTCCCCATGTGGCCATGTCAGATTTGTGTTTTCCTGCAGTTTCCCCATTTCCAGCTAATACCCAAGAGCAGGGTGCAGTTCATCAAAGGAGAGAGATGAAAGCCACTCATTTTTATTCCCACTGGATTCCCGGCCCTGGGATATAAACCAGAATATGGCAGGAGCTGGAGCTTCATTTTTGAGGCTCTCCACATCCCCTGAGAGAAACGTGGGAGGCTGGAACTTGCTCCATCAGCCCCCACAGTGGCTTTGGGGAGGGGGCAGGAAGCAGAACCCATCCTGGGGCTGGGATACAGGCTTCCATCCCTGGAGTCTCCGGGGAGGGGAAAGAGGAACAACTCAGGACAAAACAAGAAGGCCACGAGGTGAGAGGCACAACCAAATCTTTTTTCCCCTCCCCACTGGTTGCCATGGGACAGCCAGCCATGACCATGAGAAATCCAGCCAGGAATGCCCAGGGAAATCCCTGCTGCATCCCCCAGCAGTGGAATAGGCATCCCTGGGCTGCTCAGCTGCCCCCAGGGAATTGTGGACACAGGGGAAGTAGGGGACTGAAGTTGTGGACCCTTGCCTGGGTCTCTGTTGATCTCTGTTGGTCTCTGGGTCTCTTGCACAGATCTGGCCAACTGCAAGCTGATGTCCTTCCCTGTTGGAGTCTACAAAGCCGTGAGGAGCGTCACCGAGGGCATCCACCGCATCTCCCTGGCCAACAATGAGCTCAAGTCCATCACCAGCCGGTTTGTCACCACCTTCAGCCAGCTGAGAGGTAAGGCACTGCCATTCCAACCCTCCGGGGCACGCCAGGAGCCCCCAGATTGCTGCAGAGGGGTCAAAGCACCCACGAGTCTCCCTTGAGCTCACACCTCGTAGCAAGCGCTACTTCTGACCCCAAAAAATCCATTTTGGGTTGTACCTTCTGGCCCTTGAAGGATGAGAACACTGGTTCTGCTCTCACCCACACTTCCAAACTGGTTTCAGGCTGCTGTGGGGTCACTCAGCACTCCCAGCTCCCTCCAGGGATGGAGAACAGGAAAAGCAGCTTGGGGATAACAACAGAGGCATGACAATCCCGGCTGTGCCGACTAATTAGGGCTCGTAGTGCGGCATCAATGAGAGCTAATCGCTGCAGGAGATGGGAGCGATCATCAGCACGGCGGGGACACCTCCCAGAGAAGGCAGCCCGAGGCTAATCCGATAGAAAATGGCCATGCAAGCATCCAGAGCATCCGGCACCGCAGGATTGAGCGCTGAGGACGGCGCTGGGGATGCTCTGGCAGCTTCTAAAATCAATTTTATTCCTATGAGGTACCACACAAATGCCGCTATGATGGGTGCCTGGGGAGGTTTCCCTTGTCCCGGAGCTGCAGCATCGTCTGTGAGAGAACCCCTGGGTTGGGGAAAGGAAACACATGCACCAAAGGAATCAATTTCCATTTTCTAGACAGCACAACCAGCCCTGAAGGGCAAAAAATGACTTTGCTTCCCAGCAAGGGCTTTTCTCCCCCAGTGAACCATTCACTCCTGCGATGAGCTGTGCTGGGTTTCAGCAGGAACAGATGCCCCAGCGCTGGGGACAGGCTGAATAAGGCAGGACCTATAAATACGAGGTATTAGCAGAGGCAGGGCGGCTTGTGTGGGTATTTATAGTGCAGAGAGCCCTGTGTCACTGGAGAAGGGCGCTGGCACAGCGGGATTTGGGTTCTGTGCCCGGAGTGCCGCTCCTGGCCCCACAGGAGCTCATTTCTAGGGCAGGAAAGCATCACAGATGGGTAAACTGTGACAAACAGGTATTTTTCACAGCTAAAGACCTCTCTCCCACCATTCTGTTTATTGCTCAGAAGGGGTTCAGGCACATGAATACAGAGGGCTAGCCTTAAGCCATGACAAATGACCATTGGGGAGGTAATTGCGGTGAGTTTATGGGGAAATATTCCTTGTTTTTTACAGACTCTGCTTTCAAAAGGCTGCCCAATTTCATTAGGAAAGCATTGCTCCTAAATGTGGTATTCCCAGCAGGCAAATCTACAATGACAACCATGGGAAAAAAAAAAAAAAAAAAAAAAAAAAAAAAAAAGAGAGAAAGGAAAGAAAAGAAAAGAAAAAATGCCCAATTTTTGGAGCTGGAATCCCGCTGATGGATTGAGGCCAGAGGCTGTGAATCAAGCTGTACATCAGTTATTTTCCCACCTTTTTCCCTGCATCCCACCACCTCCCTTCTCTGTTCCCAGATCTGAACCTGGCAGGGAATTACCTGCACCGGCTGCCCGAGGAGATCAGGTCCCTGCTGCACCTCCGCACCATCGACCTCTCCCGAAACCGCTTCCGCCGCTTCCCGGAGCCCCTGGCCACCGTGCCCGCCCTGGAGAGCATCGACCTGGAGGAGAACGAGATCGCAGGTGAGGGGAACCCTTCCCACTGGAAAAAGGCGATTTAGCACTGTGAGAAACAACTGTTCCCCTTGGAAATTTAAAGAGGTTTATTAAATCTTAACAAAAATAGAACAAAAGGACTACATAAGTGTGAAAAACGCCAATCACTTGGTTTTTAAAATGTTAAAAGCTTAATAGTAATAAAATAGTTATAAAAATAACAGTATAATTAGAGTGATAATAATTTGGACAATTTGGGTTAGGACAATATGAGACAATAAAAAAAAAGAGTCACAGACAGTCCAGGTACCTCTTTCTGGGCAAAATAACCCACGTTAACAGACGATTAACCCTTAAAAGAACCAGCCTGTTGCATATTCATACACCTCATACATGGTGCATAAATTCCATTCACACACAGGATTCTGTCTGGGCAGTGTCAGCTTCTGCCTCTGAATCCTAAGGGCATCTTCAGGGCTGAGTGAGGCAGGAAGGAGTTCGTTTCTCCTGATAATGGAGCAATAAATTCTCTTTCTCTGGAAGATTTAGGTGTCCTGTGGCTGCTACCTCACTGCGAGTCCTTTCTTAGAAAAAGTATCTTACACAGAATAGTTTCTATTTTAACATTTTGTTATAACCTAAAACTATATTTAACACACTACTTAAGAGAATTAATACAGCATAACTTTCTAACACAATGCATATAATATTCATTTTAATATGTGCAAAAAGTCAATCACAGAATATGCATTTTTCACATAAGGAAAAAGCTGCAGTGCTGGGAACTGCCCCTCATGGCCAGTTCATCTTCAAGATGGGTGCTCAGTCTTTTATACCCCTGGGGGTTGCATCAGCCAGCCCTGGCCCTTCCTAAAGTCTGTCAGTCAGCTCCTTTGCCATTTATCAGTGCAAACTGCTTTGTAACTGGGTTGGGGGTCCACCCCCTAAAAGCACCAAGCTTTTCCATTCCCAGCTGCCCCATGCCAGGGGCACATGTGCAGACTCCTCTCTATCTGTCCTGGATACGCCAGGCTGTCTGATGGCAGCAATACAGGGGGAGACGGAACTATGGGGAGTACTATAATAACATATTTATACACCACTGAAGCTTCTCTTAATATTCACACAATAGTTATCCTTTAATTGCAAGAGCCAATAATCTCATTATCCATCTATACCAGCATCACCCAGGGCTGTTGCTAAATAATCAGAGCCTGCTCAGCCACTTGCCTTTCCCAGGAAAGGAAATTTGCCTCTCAGGGCAAAACTGCGGCAGGCACAGTGGGAGCCAAGCCCCATTCAAGCTGCCCCATTCACCACGCTGGGATGTAGCTCCTAAAGGCACCTCAAGCTGGGGTGACCCAAAATCCTTGGATTTCATTAAAAAAACAGAGCTGATTGCAGAACCCGGCCCCAGTTTTCTGCCAGGCTAAGGAAGGACACCTGAACATTTCCCAGAACAAACAGCAGCTGTTTAACACTACAAAATCCCCTAAAAATTAAATTAAAGGAATGGCAAGAGCAGCTCATCCCTCAGCCCTGCAGTGGCAGAAAAATTGTTCATGTGCAAAAAACCTGAAGGCTTTGGCGTCTGTGAAAGCTGGGCAAAAAGGGCAGCTGTTGTACACAGATAAAAGTGAATTTATTTAGCAGGCAGCCTTCAAAGAGCCCAGGCTGGTGCATCCACAGCCCCACGGAGCCCCAGGGAGGCGAATCTCAGAGTACACTCAGTTTTGCTGTTTTATCTGGGGTGGCTTCAGCTGCTGCTGGGAAACTGCTCCCTGCAGCAGGAGGTTTGTTACCAGCCTCACATCAGCTGCCCCCCAGCTGGGCCTGCAGAAACACTGGAATTAAAATCTGCTTCCACAGGAGCCGGAGAAAGACACGGCTTTTCCTCACCCTCTTTTTCTCTCCTGCCTCCTGTCTCACTTTTAGCTCCCTCCGTCACTTTTTGAGTTCATCTGGCTGATTTCAACCCAAGCTGGTCTCCAAACTGCATTTCCCCCGCTGGTTTTGTGGAAGCAGGGTGCTGCAAGTAGGGAATGCAGCTTTTCAGTGCCTTTTACCCTAAAAGCTAAAATGCAGGGAGGAAAGGCTTCATGCAGGGTTCCACCCAAGCTGGGGGAGAGGGTGGCCTCTCTTGGTTTGGTCACCTCCCAAGCCAGGTTTAGTCACCTCCTATCAGGTTCCCCTCGCATGGGAGGTGTCCTCCAGATGTGGGGAAAACAAAAACAGTAAAAATTGACAATTCCAAGCCAGGATGTTGTAGGGATATGTGCGGGTAGTGCACATGATGCTGCCTGGCTGCAGAAATGGGTGATGTGAGCTTATCTCACACATTCTCTGGAAAGGGGAGAGGAAGACACAGGAAAGCCAGGGGGGTTCAGCCCGTGTTTTCCAAGGAAACAAAACCCTGGGCGATCACACTGCTGCCACCAGCCCTTCCCAAGCAGGTTCCCTGCAGGTGAGCTGGTGTTGGCAGCCCTGGTTTGGGGTGCTGTGCCAGTGCTGGTGCTGCCTGTGCCCCTGTGCCATGCCAGGGCTGAAAAGCCCGTTTAAAAGCTCCTGCTGAAACAGCTGAGTGACTCTTGCTAAGACAAATGGAGCTGGAGGTGGTAGGTGATGTTTTCCAAAGGGAAACAGGAGTGAAAGGAGATTAATTAATGCCTGCCTGGAGCCTGTGGCTCCGTGAAAGGAGATATTTAGTGCCACAAGCCACCCTTTTCATCTAAATAAGCTCTTAACCCTGGACTGTAATTATGTATATATTACTGTCAGTGCTTTTAACTCTTTCCCTGGTAATTAGAGTTATGTCAAATCAGATTTTAAAGCTCCCAGATCCATGGGTATGTTTTGGTGCCCAGAGCTTCAGCTTCTCCTTCCCTTATTCCTTGATTAATGGTTTAATAGGGATGATGTTGAGGCTGCTGCCAAGGCTGGGGAGGTCACTGCTGGCTGGGGGCAGCTGTGGTTGATTTTGTCCTCCTGAGGATGTTGAGATGGGACAAAGGGGGTGGTTTCAAACTCAGAGTGGGGCTAGATGCTGCCACAGAGACACTGTGCATTCCTGGCAGTGCCCAGGGCCAGGCTGGATGGGGCTTACAGCAGCCTGGGGCAGTGGGAGCTGTCCCTCTGTCCATCCAGGGTGCACTGGATGAGCTCTAAGGTCCCTTCCAACCCAGGCCATGTCACATTCTGCTGTAAGTATGTAAAAAAGCCTTTTCCCTCCCTGCTTTTTGCTTAAGATCCTTCATGAATAATTCAGGCTCAAATGCAAGTGCCTTATCTGTTGGGAAGGCAGCAAGGGATGTTTTGGGTTGTTTTTGGAGGAATTTGAGGCTGGCAGGGCACAACCCTACAGCCACAGGCTGCCCTGCCTGTCCCTTCATGCCAGGGTGAGTCACTGCTCCTCACCTGGAATTGAGGTGCAGAGCTGAGCTGTTCCCAGCCTGGGAAGGTCTTGGTCCCCAGAATACTTTACACTAAACTCCCTAATCTGAGCAAAATGGGTGAGAGCACTTTTAACTTGATCATGCTGCATAAGAGGATGATTAAACTTCTTATTCTCCACTGCATTAGGCGATGATTAAATAGCGAGATGTATGAAACAAAATATATTACTTTTGTGCTTCAAGGGGAAAAAAACCCAGCAAAATGAAACGGGGGAATGGCAGTGAACAAATCCACCGTGAAGAAGAGTTATTAAAAAAATTCATGTGAAGCTTCTGTCTGATGAGCTGTGCTCTCCTAGGGAATTTGTGTATGGAAAATATCACCATTTTCTGGAGGAGAAAGAGGGGAAAAAACAAAGGCATCTAAGTGTTTGAGTCTTTTTCCAGCATAAAATAAATTTCATGGTTTAAAAATCACATAACCATCTACCAGATATAATTACAACACTGCAATTCTGCTCCAGGTGCTGGCAGAGGAAACAAGAGCTGGGGGGGAAAAGGCTCTTGTTATTTTGGTGGCCAAATTAAAGAAGAAATTGGTTTAGGTAAATCAGACAGGTGGGCGTTGCTAGCCCAAAATATTGTGAATTGTAGCAAAATCCGTCATCTTTAATGAGCTTAATCAGGGTTAGGTTTTCATATCAGCCTCAGTGGATTCACACTGGGACCATCAAGCTGAGCTGCACCCTTTTTTTTTAAACACAGTTTGTAAATGTCGTGTTTTCTAAAGGCCAACACCCAAATTCGTGGAAACTGCAGAACAGAAAGGGGCCCGTGGGTGGCTGAGAGCCATTTGCAGCCTGTCCAACCAGGGCAAAGACCACGAGGCTTCCTGTGAGCCCGGAGAGGGCTCCTGGGCATTGCAACACCGGGGAGGAAATCAGGGAAAGGGGCTTGAATCCCAGTCCAGTGTTCCGGCAGGGGTTTTATTACCCTGGAGGACTGGGGGGCAGTGCCCACACTGGATATCTGGGCGTTTGCACCTCCCTGACACATTCCTTAAAACTCCAGGGTCATTTGGGTTGGAAAAGACTTCTATGTTTACCAAACATTTGCCTGAGCAGTTGGATATATTAATATTTCATTGTCTTTCTGTTTTGATCAAAGCCTGCAGACAGGCTTAACATCAACAGCAAACCTTTGTTGTTAAACTCAAAAAAAACCCTCAAATTACAACCATGCCTCAACACAAGTAGTATTACCTCCTTACAATCAATTACCCAATCAAATAATATTAATACCTCAATAATTTATCCCTCAATCAACCATTCCTCAAATAATCCCAACTCAATACCGTCAAATTCAAAATTCGAATTAGCCTCCTCAAAATTGATACACCTTTTAAATAATTTTTGTTATAAAAGCATTCCCACCAAAATTGCCAATTTTTTTCAACAAAACCGATTTTTTTTAATTCTAAGCAAAGCCAACAGCAGAATTCTTAAACTTTCAATCCTTCCCACCATTATTTCAATAAATTATTTAAAAATTCATAATTTTATCTCTTACATTTATATTCCTATAGTAATTCCATCAAAACCACGTATAACTATTACATTTCTTTTACCCATAAACACACCCAAACAAAACAACTTTCCAAAAAACTCAATTATGTCTGTGCCTAAATCCTAAAATCTCAAATCCTAACATCTTTTAAACAAAATATTTCAAAACACAACCAACCGAAATTAACTTACAACCTAACTCACCATACTAAAACAATTTACATTACAAACGTACCAAATACTAATGCAGATGTCACTATAATTTCTCACATGTTTTAACCCAATAATTTGGGTTAGATATAGATATAGATATACTTATAGATATATATTATATATTATATATTATATATTATATATTATATATTATATATTATATATTATATATTATATATTATATATTATATTATATATTATATATTATATATTATATATTATATATTATATATTATATGTTATATATTATATGTTATATATTATAGATGTTAATTATATTATATTACATTATATTACATTACATTACACTATATTAATTATATATTATATATCTATTATAACTATAATTGTGACGAATAGATACAGATACAGGTATAGATATAGTTATAGATACAGATATAGATATAGATATAGATATAGATATAGATATAGATATAGATATAATTATAATTATAAATATAAATATAAATATAAATATAAATATAAATATAAATATAAATACATCCTGTATCAGGTTTGCTTCAGGCTGTCCATCAAGAGGAGCTTTCATCCCTCCACCCCCCCAGGACGGATTCTCACCTCGCTGCTCTCTTTCCAGAGGTGCCCACGGACAAATTGGCCTCCATGGCGCTGCTGCGGAGCCTCAACCTGCGAGCCAACCCCGTGGGCCCCGAGGTGCGGCTGCTGGTCCGGCCCCTGGTTCCCTTCGAGCTGCTGCTGTCTCCAGAGGAGCCCATCCATCCCTGAATCCTGGCAGCATTCCCGGGTGCCCGAGCTGTCCCCAGGGGGAGCTGCCCACACAGGGGTTTGGTTTGGCTCAGTCCCTGCTGCGCCCCCGTTTCTGCCCCAAAGCGGGTCCCAAACCCGAGCCAGTGCCTCGTTTTTCCCAAATTCAAAGCAGGCAGCGGGGCTCTCCCATGGAGGGATGGTTCTGCCAAATCCCGAGCCAGGCAACCTTCTGCTTATGCGTTTTGGGGGTACAGAGGAGCTGCAACACATGGGGTGGGAGGTTGGGGTGGAGTGGGGGGATCTGGATGTGCACCCTCCCACCCGAGAGCATCAGGATGGTGGAGGACATCCCTGCAGCTGGAAGGGCTCTCCCTGGAATTGCTGACACGGTGGTGGTGTGCCAAGTGCCTGATTAAATGCTTTCCTGTTACCTCGGGGGGTTTGTGTCTGATTAAATTCCAATTCCCAGCCTTGTCTTTGGAGAAACCCCTTTGCACAGCTACTCTCTGCAGCCTCCAGGCTGGATTCTCCCAGACCCAAGCTGTACTTCCCTGGAAAAATCCTTGTTTTCCAAGGAACTTTTCTTCCCTCCTGTTGTGTCACCGTGGAAGCCAAAGTGACCCAAAGCCAGTGGCTGTCCCCAGAAGTGTGTGCCCACCTCTGGAGCTGTGGGTCCTCAAGTTATGCTGATCCCTTCCCAGGAAGAAATGTCCTGGAGAGGGCGGCTTCTTGGAGGCAGGCAGGACTCTGCCAAGCACACCCATGTCCCTTAGCAGCTGGCTGCCTGCAAAAAAACTCAAAAACTTCCTGGGAGAAACCCCAGGTGTTATCTCCAAACACCTTGTTTAAACATCTCCCTTGTTTGTTCCTTTGGGTATTTAAGGGACAAACACTTCCCAATGCTGTGTGCGGGCTGGGGACAGCCAGGAATGGTAAATCCTGTAAATATTTGACTTTTAGATTTGCCAAACTTTGGTACAAGATTATGGTAAGAGATGTTGGGCATGCTGGAGGAGCTGGGTTGAGCGGAGCAGCCTGAAGCCAGGACCAGCATCCCTGAACATCGCGCTGCTTCTCCCTCTGGTGGATTGATGCATGGGGGATCCCCCCACTCGTCTTGAGGCTCATTTTCCTCCCGCGATGGCCAGGAGCGCTGCTGGGGGACACCGTCCATCAGCTGCCAGCATCACTGCGGGGACCTCGGCGGCCGCGGGGGACACAGACCGGGACCTGCCATGGGAGTGAACCTGCTCCTTCCCTCCGTCTCCGTGCCCGGCGTGGGCTGCCCGCCCCCGCGCCTCTCTCCCGGGGGGCAGCGTGGGGGTCCCCCGGTATCCATGGCGATGGGAGGGAGGTGTTTCCCCCCGCGCCCCCTCCCCGCCTCCGCTGCAGCCGCCGAGCAGCCGCAAGCGGCGCCAAGCGGCGCCGGGGCTCCGGAGCTGGCGGGAGGCACGGAGCGAGGCACGGAGAGGGCGAGCCGTGCCCCCTCCCCTGGCAGCGCATCCCCTGCACGGCAGCGATGCAGCCCCCGGAGCCGGCCCGGCCCGGCGGAGGTGAGTGCCGAGACCTGATTGATTTTATCTCCCAAAAAGCGATCCGCCCCTCATCCCACCCCTGTTCCATCAGACCAGCCTTTCCCCGCGGTACTTTCCCACAGCTGGGCAGGGAATGCGGATGGTCCATTCCCCCCGTGCAGTCCCCCCATCCCTGTCACCACGTCCGATGTGTCAGTGAGTCCTGAGGACGCCTGCATCCATCCATCCATCCACCCATTCATCCCCCCATTCATCCTCCACCCATTCATCCATCTATCCACTCACTCATCCATCCAGCACTCACCCGGCTGCTCAGCAGCTCCTTATTTTCCTTTCCCCATCTTCCACCTTGCTTTAAAACCACATCCAAATCCACAGGACACCAACCTCCTGCTCATGCTGCACTGCAGCCCCAAAGGATAAAGTCTAGCAAAGTTTCAGGCTTAATATCACAGGTTTTGGGCAATCTCATTGCAGTCTTTGCTATTGCTACTGCTTAAAAAGCTGTTTCACAGATCTGATACCGATTATCTGGAGAATCTTGCCCCCTCCATCCCGCTACTCCCTTGTCTCTCCAAGAGACTCCTTCTCCCGTGTCGGCTGCAAATCCCCCCAGCGCCTTTCTGAATGCCCAATGGAAAAGCGTTGCCTAAATACTGCGCCCAGGACTGGGGTATCAGGGGCTGGATCGGGCCCTCCTGCCTGCCTGAACCCTGAGGAAGCCGCTGGTCCCGGGGGCTGGAAAAGCATCTAGGCTGGAGAGCTGACCACCGTCATGGTCACAGGGATGGGGGATGCTCCAGCCGCTCAGAGCTGACCTGCAGGCGCTCAGGCTGAGCTTAAAGCCCAGATGTGCCTTTCCTGGGCTCAGCACTGCAGCCCGGATCCTCCCAGAGCGGGTCCCGTCAGCGCTGCAGGCAGCTCCTGCCCACGCCCCGCATCCTCCCGCATCCCCGAGCGGCTGGGGAAGCCCGAGGGTGGGAGCTGCCGAGCCCCGCTCCCCGCTCAGTCCCCAGTGACAAAATACCACCCCCGCCTCCACCAGATAATGATCAGAATGACAATTATCGCTCTAGATGGGAGGGGAGGGGGTCCTCTGCCCCAGCTCCTCTCCCCGGGTTCTTGCAGCTTCGCCGGGCAGAATAAGATTTTGTGGAATATGGAATTGTAAACCTTGGAAGCACAAGGAGAAGCAGGGATGCTCCCAGGGCAGCCGTGGCTGGGACCACGCGGATGCTGCTCCCATAAGGCCAGAGCACTGGGGTGTCAGGATGTGGATTTGCCTTCCTTGCATCATCCCCTAAGTAAAAAAAAGGCCGACGAGATCAGGATGTCTTCTGGGCCGTTCTAATTCTAAAAGAATGATGCAAATAATAATGATATCCAGTAATAACAATATCAAACAATAATTGTATCTAATAATAATGATATTGATTTTATCAAACAATAATGAAATTGATGGTATCAAACAATAATGACGTAAAATAATAATTCAGCAGAGGTGCTGCAGAGCCTAGAGCTGAGTAACCCAAGGAGGAGGAGACTTGTTGGGGCACAAAGAAGAGTCCAGCAGGACATGTCCCAGCCAGTCTGGGCACTGGAATAAATATGAAAATCCCCCTCTGGAGGCATTAAGAAATTAAGGGAATTATTGCTTTATTCTCTCCCAGCTTCATTTTCCTGCCTTCCCTTCCCCAGGCCCTTCCAATGGCACCTGGTGGTGGCCCAACTCCAGCGCCAGCCACCTCCTGAGGGAGAACTACACCTTCCTGGCGTACTACCAGCATTCCCCCCCTGTGGCCCTCATGTTCATCCTGGCCTACACCTTCATCTTCCTCATGTGCGTGGTCGGCAACGTCCTGGTGTGCTTCGTGGTGGTGAAGAACCGCCAGATGCGCACGGTCACCAACATGTTTCTCCTCAACCTGGCCATCAGCGACCTGCTGGTGGGCATCTTCTGCATGCCCACCACCCTGGTGGACAACCTCATCACAGGTGAGCAGGGCAGAGGAAGGGAAAAGACTTCTTTTTTAATTTTTATTTGAGGTTCAGGCCATTTGTGGTAAAATAAGTTTGGCCCTAATGCTGCATTTGCATATTTGTTTGAAGCAACATTAAAAAAACTCCTTTCTGCATTCACTTTCTCCTGTGCTGGCTCAGCTCTGCCTGTTGACCTTTCCAAAGATAAGGGAGTTGGAAGGGTTCAGCTGCAGCAGCAGCAGCCAGGCCATAGGGCAGGGTTTGTATTTATTGATTTTGGGGTGTGATTTATGTATTTATTGGTATTGGGGTCAAGAAACAAGATGAAAGTCCTTCTGATTGAGGGTCCCAAAGTCGGTAGGAAAAATGACAGCCACCATGTTCCTTGAGTCTCTAAGTGTCAAGTGTATCTTTTTTACCAATTTTGGGGTTACTCTTCAAGGATCCATGCTGCTAAAGGCTATCTCCACACCAGCTGGGAGCAGGACTTAGCATCCCCCAGCAGCAACCCAGTGGGGGGGGGACACCTGAAGGGAGCTGGGTGGGCCAGAGGCACCCACAGCCTGCGTGGTGTCCCCTCACAGGTTGGCCCTTTGACAACACCATGTGCAAAATGAGTGGGCTGGTGCAGGGCATGTCCGTCTCCGCCTCGGTTTTCACGCTGGTGGCCATCGCTGTGGAGAGGTACGTTGGCATGGGGACATGGGGACGTGGGGACATGGGGACCAAACCATCTCCATCAGGTCCAGGTGCCCAGTGCCATTCCCATTGTGTGAAAGTTCCTGGGAATGTCAGGAGCCTGTCATAGCTCTCCAGCAGCACCACAAAGCTGGGCCATTCCAGCAAGGTGTCCTTCCCCACGCCGGGATGAACACACCAACCCAGCTCTGCCACCAAAAGACACGTGTAAAGACACATCCACCTCACCCTCCATTCCCACCCCTGGGTCCTGGCGCCGTCCTTCCCCAGGGATGTTCCCACCAGGTGCCCAAAGCCAGCATGAGCTGTTCTCCCCCCCAGGTTTCGCTGCATCGTCCACCCCTTCCGGCAGAAGCTGACGCTGAGGAAAGCCCTGCTGACCATCGCCGTCATCTGGGTGCTGGCCCTGCTCATCATGTGCCCGGCCGCTGTCACCCTGACCGTCACCAGGGAGGAGCACCACTTCATGGTGGACACCTACAACAACTCCTACCCTCTCTACTCCTGCTGGGAGGCCTGGCCCGAGACGGGCATGAGGAGGATCTATACCACCATCCTCTTCTCCCACATCTACGTGGCTCCCCTCGCCCTCATCGTCGTCATGTACGCCCGCATCGCCTTCAAGCTCTTCAAGTCGGTGGCACCCACCCAGAGCGGAGAGGAGCCGGAGGGGAGGAGGATCTCCCGGAGGAAGGCCAAGGTCATCAACATGCTCATCATCGTTGCCCTCTTCTTCAGTGTCTCCTGGCTGCCCCTCTGGACGCTGATGCTGCTGACGGACTACGGGCGGCTGAGCGAGGCCCAGCTGCGCCTGCTCACCGTCTACGTGTACCCGCTGGCGCACTGGCTGGCCTTCTTCAACAGCAGCGCCAACCCCATCATCTACGGCTACTTCAACGAGAACTTCCGACGTGCCTTCCAGGAGGTGTTCAGGGCCCCGCTCTGCTCATGGCACTGCCAGCGCCGGCCCTACACCCCCCAGAGCCATGGCCCCGGGACGCTCTTTGGCCCCCGTAACCGCATCCTCAGCCAGGCGCGGGCCAGCGCCTCGCCAGCCGTGTCCGAGTCAGGGCCGCTGGCCCCGCGCCGCGCCGGCATCCCTGCGTGGGACGGCTGAGGCCTCCAAACCCCTCTGCACCGAGGGACTGCGGGGTGGGGAGTGGGGATTGGCCACGAGACATGGAAATAAAGGTGTGTCCAACTGATGCCTTGTTCCTGGCTAGGCTCCTCCACTTCCCTCACTGAGCCCCCAGGCCCTGCCAGAGCCCCCCTGATCCAGCCCAGTCCAGGCATGGGGCCAAGGAAGGCAGGGATCCAGGAGAAGTGTGGGAGAATGGGCTGTCCTGGCCTTGCTTGGCCATGCCATGGAGAGGCATGCAGCACCATGCTGTGCTGGACCAAACCATGCCATGCAGGACCGTGCCAAGCCATGCTGCCATGGCTGTGCCAGGCAGGACCAAGCCGGATTGTGCTGCACCATGCTGTGCCATGCCACTCCATGCTACTCCATGGCCATGGGGAATGGACCATTCCATGGATGGGCAATGCTGGGGCTGTGTTGTACCAAGCCATCCCATGCTGGACCAAGCCATCTCATGCTGTTGTGACCCTTCTAGACCAAACCATGCCATGCAGGACAATGCCACTCCTTGCATTTGTGGCCATTCCTGACCACATCCCACCACACTGCAGTGCCCATGCCATGCCAGTCCATGCCACCCCATGCTGTTACACCCATGCTGGGCCGAACCATGCCATGCCAGATTGTGCCAGCCCACCCTTGTGTGGCCATGCCAGGCAGGATCACACTGTGCTGGGCCTTGCTACTGTGGCCATGCTGAACCATGCTGGGCTGGGACTGCTCTGTGTGGGTCCATGATAGCCCAGGCTGCTGTGGCCATGGTGAGCAGGACCGTTCCAAGCTAGCAGGGCCATTACATTCCAGGAAGAACCATTCCCAACTGGGAAGAACCATTCCAAACCAGGAATAACCATTCTAGCCAGGCAGAACCATTCCAAGCTGGGCAGAACCATTCCAAGCTGGGCAGCATCATTCCCAACCAGGAATAACCATTCTCAGCCAGGCAGGGCCATTCCAAGCCCGGAAGAACCATTCCAAGCTGGGAAGAACCATTCCCAACCGGGAAGATCCATTCCCAACCAGGAAGATCCATTCCCAGCTGGGACAAACCATTCCAAACAAGGAATGACCATTCCCAGCTGGGAAGTACCATTCCAAACCAGGAAGAACCATTCCCAGCCTGGAATAACCATTCCAAGCTGGGAAGAACCATTCCCAGCCAGGCAGGACCATTCCCAGCCAGGAATAACCATTTCAAACCAGGCAGGGCCATTCCCAACCAGGAATGACCATTCCCAGCCAGGCAGGGCCATTCCCAACCAGGAAGAACCATTCCAAGCCGGGAAGAACCACTCCCAGCCAGGCAGGGCTATTCTACGCCAGGAAGAACCATTCCCAAACCGGGAATGACCATTCCCAACAGGGCCAGACCATTCCCAACCAGGAATGACCATTCCCAGCCAGGAAGAACCATTCAAAGCCAGGCAGGGCCATTCTAAGCTGGGAAGAACCATTCCCAACCAGGACTGACCATTCCCAGGTGGGAATAACCATTCCCAACCAGGAATAACCTGTCCCAACCAGGAAGAACCATTCCCAGCCAGGCAGGGCCATTCCCAACCAGGAATGACCATTCCCAGCCAGGAAGAACTATTCAAAGCCAGGCGGGGCCATTCTAAGCCGGGAAGAACCATTCCCAACCAGGACTGACCATTCCCAGGTAGGAATAACCATTCCTAAACCAGGAATAACCATTCCTAAACCAGGAATAACCATTCCAAACCGGGAATTACCATTCCCAAATAGGACAAACCATTCCCAGCCGGGCCGGACCATTCTAAGCCGGGAAGAACCATTCCAAGCCAGGAAGAACCATTCCAAGCCGGGAAGAACCATTCCCAACCAGGACCGACCATTCCCAACCAGGATTGACCATTCCCAGCTGGGAATAACCATTCCCAAACCAGGAATAACCATTCCCAGCCGGGAAGAACCATTCCAAACCGGGAATTACCATTCCCAACCAGGACCGACCATTCCTATTCGGGCAGGGCCATTCCCAACCAGGGTGGATCATTCCCAGCCGGGAAGAACCATTCCAAACCGGGAATTACCATTCCCGACCAGGACCGACCACTCCTATTCGGGCCGGGCCATTCCCAACCAGGGCGGACCATTCCCAGCCAGGAATAACCATTCCCAGCC